CTCAAATTGCAAATGAACCTCATTCAGCAAGGCTAATCCTGACTAAAGGAAAGCGTTTTTATCTGCTGGAAGGTGGAGGTGACCTAAGAGCAAAGGTCTGCGATCCTTCTCAGTGTAAACGTGACCTCGGTCCTCAGGTGAACTATGTCTGCTCAGGGCTCCTGGATGCTGAAGGTGCTAGATTTCCTCTCCACGTCCAAATAATAACCACCAATATGACGATGCTCCTCCAACAGCAGCTCTCTCTTGCCCATCAGAGGTGATTCTATTCTAATTTCCCCGTTTGTGGCATCACAAATGGGGGCTTTTTGAAACAGCTTGTTTTAGGCACATAATTCCTAAAAAAAAAAATCACAGGCATAAAAACAAATGGGCTGATTTTCTTTCACGTTTGGAGGGTTTATAGAGGCGGTAGAGATGGCAGAAGGATGCACAAGGTAACTTTTGCATAATGTGCCTCCTTTAAATCTTTTATTGTGTACATCTAGGTAGTCTACAAACTCACAAAAGCAAATGTACTAATTGGAGGTAGTTGTTTAAAAAAGGGAGGGTGTACTTATTTAATTCATGCACTTAAAAGCATCTGTCAAACATATTTGTATAAAACCAGCTCAGTTGGTAGTTTAAAATATTCCTATTGTGTTCAAACCCAATTGCACCTCAAAGGTAGATTAACAGATCTCTTTTAGAGCACTTCAAGGGGAATTGGTCACATTTCAAAACCCAAGTTTCAAATATGATTTTAAATAAAATCACATCAGTCTAGTAAAAGATGCATTTTAATACCAAATAATGTTGACCATAAAATACCAGTGGTTGGTGAAAGCACAGCATCTGCAACATTTCCATCTTGTCAGTAAAAGTTTTGCCCGTGCATCTACTAAGAAAGGTAAAATGACACTGAAAGCATTAATTTAACAATTGGAGTCTTTAAAATTAGCATACCAGCTTATTTTCTGTTGTCTGCCAAGCAAGCATGGCATTGTGTGCTGATGTAGCTTTGATTTTTAAATCAAGTCTCTATGCTGTTCTCCCCCCTGCTGTGCGTGACCTTCTTGGTGTGAAGTGATGCACAGCATGGTGGTTAGCATGAAGACGCGGGCAGATTCAAGTCCACTTGCATAAATTAGCCTCCCTCTGTCACTTTTTCTTCACAGGGTTAAACGCGCTGGAGCCCGTCACTGAGGGTGCTCCGCTGTAAATCTTACAGCCAACGCAAGAGTCTCGGTAAACACTGAGCAGTGACCTCTCTAGGGAACAGAGGGTGTCACTGTGTGTGTGTGTGTGTGTGTGTGTGTGCGTGCGTGCGTGCGTGCGTGCGTGCGTGCGTGTGTGTGTGTGTGTGTGTGTGTGTGTGTGTTGTTGCTCTGGTTGTAAGAAGAAGATGTTGCTGCTCTGTTGACACAGGTCAAAATGGCACGACGGAGCGGGATGAGAGAGCGTTAAATGGTGTCAGGGTCACTGGCAGAAGAAGAGATTAAACTAACGATGCTGGTGACACAACAATTTCTGTATGACAGACGAGCACACACCAAGCATCAGTTTATTTTAGTGCTGCTTCTAATGACGTTAGGTGTTTTACACGTTAGGTGTTTTAAAATATTTGATTTAACTGTTTGACAAACAGATTCAGCTTTACTTTCTCGTCCTATCTGAACCTCGTTTGTTTCCATGCATGTAGCACAATTATCCTTCAACAAATGTCGATGGAATTACCATTACTGTATATTTGCAAATGTTTATCCATTTTAAAAACCAAAACACAGTTGAAGACCCAGTTATATGAAATTTCGCTTACGAAAATTGTTGACAAAAGCATCGGTTCCAGGGTTAGGGTTAGAACTGAAAAATGTGACTGCTTGTCAACAAGCAAAAAAACCACCAGTTGTCTTCATCGTTATTTAGACACGGACTTGAGACTACGCTAGCAAGTTGTAGCAAGGTTTAGTCCTCTTCAGAACCAAAAACATTCCTCACTTTCCTCATCGCACTGGTATGGCAGTACACGTTTAGATTTAACCCCTCCAGAGTTCAACTGGCAATAGAAATGCTCTCCTGAAATCATCGAGTCCATACCGACCCACGATGACCCCAGACCACTCAGTGGAACCAAAAACAAATGTGGTTTTCTTGCTATCAAATTCACACATAGTCTAACTATTTTCACAACCTAATCATCATAGGTAAATTGTTGTTTTCTTGCGTATGTAAACTCTAAAAAGTCGAGTCTATCAACTCTATAATCTAACCATAAAGAAGGATTTATCTTTCAAATGTATTATAGTTCACAAATGCACCCAATTATCTGTACAACAGCACTAGCTCAGGAGGTAGAGCAGGTTGTCTAGTAAGGATGCAGGTTCAATTCCAGCTCCTGCCTGAGAATGCTGCTGTTGTGTCCTTGGGCAAGACACCGCCTTGCCTGCAGGTGGAGCGAGCGTATGGAAGGCCTCGTCTCTGTCAGTGTGCCCCAGGGCAGCTGTGGCTACATTGTAGCTCATCATCATCAATGTGTGAATGGGTGAATGACTGTGTTGTGAAGCACCTTGGGGGGGTTGTAGAACCCTATGAAGGTGCTATGCAAATACAGGCCGATTATGACAAAAATTATCTATTTTATTGATTCATTTAACTCGTGTTTTATGAGGATGTAAACCGCTTACATCTCATTCTCAAGTGGGTCCTCAAAATCAACAACAAAGTGGCTGATAAGACAGCAGAGTCATTAAATAATCCCAAATTCACAAGTACAAAAATAACAATAATAAAAACTCACACCCAAAAAAATTTAATATTTTTTTTTGTATCAAGCTCGTTTTAAAAAGGCAAAAATATGTGATCATTTAAAGCTGATGTTTCCAAATCTGTTGTAAAATGTATACAACAGTTACCATACCCAGAAGTGATGCTGCCCAAAAAGAGTTTGTTTCAATAGCTGTGTTTCCATGACTGGAACTCCGGGGTAGTTCCTGGGACGAGGAAACTCACCTGGATATACCGTGTTCCAGTCCTCGCAGCTGTTGTGTCTCCGTTCACATTCAGCCCTTTCAGAACTTTGCACAGGCGTCAGCATACGGCAACTGCTTTGGCAGTGAGCGATGTCACTGATCAGCGCCAAAAGCAGATATAGTCAGGGGTGCACATAATATTTTTGGGTTGGTACTCAGGGGAGAACCTATGGTTGTTGCTTGGTCCTCACATGTTTTACTGCACTTAATTCTTAACCCAACTCACAACAGGAACAAAACAGAGTAACGGGTTGACGATGCAACATATTTTACTTTTGACTGAAATCAATAAGTACAACAGGTACATATTGCCAGCTTAATGTTAACCTTCTAATTTTCAAATAACATGACTGAATTGTCTGAATGTAGAACACTTAGTGTAAACAGCTGCTTTTGTGATAACAAAAATCAAATAAAATAAAATTTTAAAGCATTTAACAAAATTACTATCTCAGAGCACTGAAGTTTTTTAAATGGCATAAATGCCATTTTTATTTCTACAGACTCTCATCATCCTCCTCACTTTCCTGACAGGCTTCCTTCAGTTCACACACAGCAGAGGACAACTTTTTGATGTTCTCTGCTGTTAGTATGTTTATCAAACGCTGGATGATTGAAGTGTTTAGAGCATATGTAAAAGGCGCTGTTTTTGTCTGCCAGGGTGGGATTTTCACGGCTTAATCTGCACCACATCTCTGTGCATTCATCGTTTGTTTAAAGCCAGCCGACCTCCTGCAGCCACTTCTCCGCGAATACTCTTTTCTTTTGCGGTTCCGACTCAGTCTGACGTTTTTCTGGAGGTGGAGGAAAACCAAAATAATTACTTAATGGAGCTTGCTTCTTGAACTGCTCCAGAAATGTTCTTCCTCCACAAAATCTTAGGTGTGCAAATGCATGCTGCAGCTTTTTTTTTCAGGTGCGCATTGTTTATTTTGACAGCGCATGCGCACCTGCGGACACCTTATGTGCACACCTGTATATAGTGATACACAGCCTTGTAATGACTTGTAGCAACATAACATGTGTAGAGTTAAAAATGAGCTGGTTTGTACTGAACTATTCACTTATGGCCCAGAAAGGTACTAAGTACACATCCTTGTGGGACTCCTGTGCTCAGTTTTAGGTGTTTGACTTTCCAGGAGGCAATCTAAAATCTTGTAGAATTAGGTTTTCAGCAGGAGTGATGAGTACCTAACTACAAGCTGCCACTGGAAGAATCCAAAATATAAATGTACTTTGTCTTCACTGGAAAAGACCATGTGCAGGGTCTGCACGTGCATTTTCTTTCCATCAAATGAAAGTTGCTTTTCAACAAATAAATATGGCATTTGGAAATTGTTTTATTTTATGTTAAAGCAAAAAGATAATAGTAAACAGTCAGTTAGGTTCTGAGGTGGGGTTGTGACTTGAGCACACGTTTTATCACCTGGCAAGCCTATTTATAGTCTACTCTCAGCACAGTTTGTCTTGTGCTCTCCACCCTTATCATCCTTTCCTCTCATTCCATTCTTCCTCATCTCATCCCTTATTCTGTCCTCTTTTTGTCCAATTTATCATCCTCATCACTTTCATTCACCTCGGCTCTCTTCAGCTTGTTTCAGGCCGTTCATGTGATGCTCATCTTCAGCAAAAATCCAGAGGGTAAAGAGCAGATCCAGCTTCACACCGTCGAACCAATCAGATCCATGAATCCTTCATGCTTTACTCTGTATCTACTTATGCGTGAGGAGGTTTTGTCCCAATATGAGTTTTGTGATCCCCAACTCCAACTGTCCTGTTGAACTCTAGATAAGCATGTTGTTTCAGTTTGTTGTGACATGGTCTTGCATAATAATGCACTTTTCAAATGTACACAAACCATTTGCAGTATTTTATTTTTGTTTTGCATTATTAGCCAAGCATAAAGCATAACGAGAGTTTCTATATAAAGTTGTATGAATGTAAACAGCCATATTCATCTAACATTGCCTGTTGTTGGACCTCCATATTGTTAGAATAATTTTTTTTTTCTAATTTGGATCAAGCCAGCGCTTTAACTTCGCCCCTGCCTCAGTGAACAGAGATGTTACAACCACCACCCACTAAACGTCACAGTTGTTACCCAACTGTCAAAAAGAAATCCTGCCAGTTTGGTGAAACCTCCACAGGGCAGGCAACCTCGCAATTACGACAGCACCTGAAGGCAGCAGGCAACAGATCCTGACAGTGAGGGAGAGAGCGGGTTTAGCCTTGTACCTCTGGCCTGATGAGATAAAACCAGACTTTTCTTCTTCCTTTTATCATCAACTTCAGGAAGACCAAGCACAGATTTTTTTTTTCATTCTTTCTGTGTTTATATTCCTTTTTAAAGCTCTTACTGAGCACTTGTCCGGTGTTACGCATGGCTCAGCGGGTGGTCTGGCTCTTTGTCGCGCTGTCCGGTGTCCTGAACGCGCGCACGCACGGGGCTTATACCTGTCCGGCGATTTGCCGCTGCACCGCAGACTCGTTACGGTGCAGCAGAGACACACAGCTGGCCTCCCTGTCCCGAACACCAGCAGCATCCCCACTTCGGCTGTAAGTGACCAACTTTCCGCTTTAGTTGCACATAAAGGCGCACGTTCTGGAAAGCGTGCGCTTTTTCCAACTCGCTTTCTAACTTTTTTCACCCAAATATTTTCAGTGACATTCCTCTTTCAGTGCCTTAAAGCGACAAAAAGTAACTTATTTTTTAAATTTCTTTCACATGTGGCAGCATATATGTGGATTTAAACGCCTCACTCATTACTTTTGCAGAAGGCTCACCCATCTGCCCTTGAAACAACTTTCCACTCATGCCTTCAAGGAGCTGATCAACATCACCGTAATGTAAGTTATTTTACTCAACCACAGTTTTCTATTCCTTTAAAATACATATGGGACGATAGTTTAGGACAATATCATGTGTGTAATTCACCCATTACAGGTGTGTATTGAAATTAAAACACGTGGTTTGCCTCTGTGTGTGTGTGTGTGTGTGTGTGTGTGTGTGTGTGTGTGTGTGTGTGTGTGTGTGTGTGTGTGTGTGTGTGTGTGTGTGTGTGTGTGTGTGTGTGTGTGTGTGAACTAAAAATCAACAACATGTTGTAGATCATCAGTAACCTGATTCAGTGACTTATAACACGAAATGCAGGATGTTCTCAAATGACATAAATATTAATATAATGATATAAATTATTAATGAGACATTTAAAAACTCACAAAAAACATATTGCTCATCCCCCTATAATTCTGATTTATTCAGTAATTTCTAGATGCTGAAATACTAACCTGGTTAGTTTAACAGCGGATATATATATATATATATATATATATATATATATATATATATATATATATATATATATATATATATATATATATGTCTGCTTGACCCTTACCAATCTGGGTTCAAAAAGGGCCACTCCACTGAAACTGCTCTGTTAGCAGTGACGGATTCCTTAAAAGAAGCTAGAGCGACTGCTAAATCCTGAGTGCTTATCCTGCTCGACTTATCGGCTGCATTTGACACTGTCAACCATGGCTTCCTTTTGTCCACACTCTCTACCATGGGCATCACAGAGAAAGCACACGCCTGGTTTGAATCGTACCTCACAGGATGATCATTCAGTGAATCTTGGCTTGGACAATCCTCTACCGTGCACCACCTTGCCACAGGAGTCCCCCAGGGCTCTGTACTAGGACCTCTTCTCTTTGCCATATACACCACCTCACTGGGTGAGATCATTCGATCACATGGCTTCTCCTGCCACTGCTATGCAGACGACACCCAGCTCTATCTGTCATTTCCACCGGACGACCACGCTGTCTCTGCCCGAATATCAAACTGTCTCTCTGACATATCAAAATGGATGAAATCCCACCATCTCCAACTCAACCTCTCTAAAACTGAACTACTTGTCATCCCAGCAAAAACATCCATACAGCACAATATCTCAATCCAAAATGACTTCCTATCTCTGGCTCCTTCAAAGGCAGTCCGAAATCTGGGTGTTGTGATTGATGAACACCTGACCTTTAAAGATCAGGTTGCCTCTGTTGATTGTTCATGTCGCTTTACGCTGTATAACATACAAAAGATCAGACCATACCTAACACAACATGCCACCCAGCTCCTGGTGCAATCTACTGTCATCTCCCGCCTCGATTACTGCAATGCCCTTCTAACTGGTCTTCCAGCCTGTACTGTGAGACCTCTTCAAATGGTCCAGAATGCAGCAGCGCGTCTGGTCTTCAATCAGCTAAAAAGAGCACACGTCACCCCTCTGTTCATTGAGCTCCACTGGCTACCGCTAGCAGCACGCATCAAATTCAAATTGCTAACACTAGCATACAAAGTCCGAGATGGTATGGCTCCCATCTACCTGAATCCTCTTGCAAATGCTTACGTCTCGGCCCGGCCGCTCCGGTCATCACAGGATCGTTGGCTAGCAGTGGCTACACCACGCTCAGGACAATCCAGACTCTTCTCATGCATTGTTCCACAAATGTGGAATGACCTACCAAGCACTACCAGAACAGGGGCTTCATTTTCGACTTTCAAGAAACTCCTGAAGACCCTGCTCTTCAGAGATCATCTTCTAAACTAGCACCCTCCCTGCACCCGTCCCCCCTCTCTACTGTCCACTCCTTGTTCCCTCCTCTCCATGATTCATCATGCTGCCTCACTGCCACCTACAACTGACTGGAAATGATTTGTTGTTGTTGTTTTTGTTAGCTTCAAGGGCAACATGCCGATTATCACTTGTAAGTCGCTTTGGACAAAGTGTCTGCTAAATACATAAACATAAACAAATATACACACACACATTTATTTAAACATTTCTTAACTGTTAAAGATCATTTATTATAGTCACACTTTATATGGCTACCCGTTGGAACTTCACTTCCTGTTTCATGTTTCATTTCTCTAGGAGTTTCAGCTGCATCAGAAGTTCATGCACAAAAGTACATTTTGAGTTTTTTCAACCCCAGTTACTTTTAGATTTGTTGTACATAAATGAGTAGAGGTGAAAACCAGAAAATCAGAATAATGTGGAAAAGTTCATTTATTTCAGTAGTTCAGCTTAAACTGAGAGACCATCTAAAGGCTCAGGAACCCTTTGCAGGTGTTTTGAATTCACCATCTGATTAAGAGTGTGAAAATTTGAGCCTTGAACCATCCATCCATTTTCCTCTGCTTATCCGAGGTTGGGTCGCGGGGGAAGCAGCCTAAGCAGAGAGGTCCAGACTTCACTCTCCCCAGCCTACTGGGCTAGCTCCTCCGGGGGAACCCCAAGGCGTTCCCCAACCATTCGAGAAACATAGTCCCTCCAGATGACCGAGCTTCTCACCTAGACATCCTGTGGAGAAAACAGTTTGGCTGCTTGTATCCGCAATCTTGTTCTTTTGGTCACTGCACAAAGCTCGTGACCATAGGTGAGGTAGGAACGTAGACTGAGCTTCCGGCTCATCTCTCTCTCCACCACAACAGATCGATACAACGCCCACATCATCTTCAGATACAGCACAAATCTGCCTATTGACTTTGTGCTCCATCTTCCCTCACTCGTGAACAAGACCCTGAGATACCTAAACTCCCCCACTTGGACCTGAAAAAGGCATTCTACCCATTTCCGACTCAAGACCGTGGTCTCAGATTTAGAGAAGCTGATTCTCATCCCAGCTGCTTCACACTTAGCTGTAAAATGCTCCAGCATAAGCTAGAGATCATGTTCTGATGATGCCAACAGGACCACATCATCTGCAAAAAGCAGAGACCTGATCCTTAGACCACCAAAACGAATTCCCTCAACACCTTGGCGAAGTCATACTCTCTCTGGAAAAGAGCCCAACTTACTGCAGGCAATGTGGACGAAGCTCTGGCAACAGTCATACAGGGACCTAACAGCCTGTGTCAGAGGGCCTGGTACCACATTGGTCCTCCTGAATCCAAGGTTCAACTATCCAGTGGACCCTCCTATCCAGAACCCTTGAAAAGACCTTAGCAGTTAGAATATTTAAGCCTTTTCACAATATTCTAACTGTGTGAGATTTGGTGTTTGGGGTTTTTATAAGCTGTAAGCTATAATCATCACAGTTATGACAAATAAAGGTTTGAAAGATCTCACTTTGTATTTAATGAGTCTATCTCATTTATTAGTTTCACATTTAAATTACTGACATAAATGAACTTTTGCAACATTTTCAAATGTTTTGAGATTCACCTGAAGAATGAGTCGGAAATTATTTGGCTGACACATTTCATATCAATCAGCGCTTTTATTTTGGAAAGTGGAAATGCATCTTTCAGATTTCTTAGCTAGCTACCTTGTTAAATCTAAATGTGAAAAGTTTTCATTTAAATATTGTGATCCGCATTAAACTGAAGATTAGGCAACTCTTAATTACGTTTTTTTAATTTTATTATCAGCATGCCACTAATTAAAAACAAACCTTTTTTAATGAGCTTTATTGAATCAATGATTGTAGGAGTAGCTGTTGGTTATTTATCAATGACAAAATCTCAACTAATGCAAGATATTTCCAACTTTTATGGATTTTCTTTAAGACGACTGGGACCACCAGCTCCACCACTAGTACTGTATTAATCATACATTTGGCAAGGCTCAAAGATTTTTCACAACAAAATACTAATAAAAATTAGGGAAGTAACTTTAATAAAGAGTTTGTTCTAGCAAACACTCACGCAGCTCAGCAACAAATCCTAGATGCGAGATCCTAATCGGGAGGTGCCAGATCTGGGCGATTAATTTAAAACGCCTGTGTTAAATACTCCCTGCTATAAACAGCTTCTGAACGTTACTCTTGAGCAGTGTGTTTGACTTTGCTCTATTTTTCAGGGTCGAGCCTTATCAGTCTCAGATACTCACTGTGCCTCAGTGTTTACTGCATTCAATTTTAATCTGTTTTTTTTTTTACATTTCTGTAGTTTTAATTGATAGAAACATTCAAATCATAACAAATGAAGACGTTCCCAACTCTATTTTTACTCATAGAAAGCCTGCGTCAGTTTAGATGCTTCGTTTAGACGATCTTGTGAAAGCCTTTTAAAGTGGACTGCAGGTGGTAATTGTGACACGATGCATGAAGCAATCAGGCAACGGGACAAAAGAGAAAGGAGGGTATGCGGTCCTGATGAAGACTTTTTAATTGTTTCTTGGTCTGAGATGCGGAAAACGCCGGCTCTAGCCCGGGTAAAGTGTCGCCTGATTACAGTAGAGCGGGAGCAGAAAATGATGATTACCAACAGAAGATGGAGAGTGTTTTGCGAAGTCAGCCGTAAGACAACAAAGTAATCAAAGACAAAACAAAAAGAAAACCTTATTAACTTGGTTTCTTGATGCCTTTGTATACTCTGACTTGTTACACAGCTCCCACTTCCTGACCTGGATGCATCCATGATGTATGTTCTGAGCTTTTCCAAACAATGAAGTTGAGTACGTGTGTGCAGTGGCCTAGAAACGGTGAACTGTTAATGGTGCTGTTTGGTATTTTGATATTCCCCTCGTGGTTTCCAGCACTGTATCAATCAAGTCTGTCCTATTTTTTACTTCAAATGCATTAAAGGCTAAGTATTCCAAAATCAAAGTGAGCACCGTGCCTCAAAATTTGTCTGCTGAACTCGAGACTGTTTGGGTGTAATTAGACGATGGTGTTTGGAAAATGTTGACTGACGCCACGTCTCGTCTTTTTGCTACAGAGAGATCTCCCAGAGCGACTGCATCACACACATACGGACACACGCCTTCTTCTCCCTCCACAGTTTGGCACAAATGTGAGCTAAGTGACAGTTTGTCTTCCTTCATGCATCACATTCAAACATTGTGAAAGAAATTATTAATTTGCACAGCTGCTTTTCAGTTTTGCAGGATTGTTCTGTCAATTGCAAAGCAACGTGTTTAATTTTTGATATTTTCTGTGCTTGTTAATTTTCGCCGACAGCAGCATCATAACAATTACTGATCTTGTTTCCTCATTTTAATTCTTCAGTTTGGTGCAGAATATCAACAGTCTGAGAGTTATTGAAAATGGTGCCTTCACTGACCTGCCCAGGCTTGAATATTTGTAAGTCACCTACAGATACAAGTCATGTGATTAAACAAATACGGGAGTCACTGTCTGATGAAACAAAGGGACATGTCTCAGCTTTTAGTGCTTAGAACACCGTTTTACTCCTGTCGTTTACACCTTCAGGATTTTTATCTAAACATCTCACATGAGAACCGGGACAAAAAAGTGCCAAACAATCCTCAGGACTGAGGGGAAAAGAAGCCATTTGTATGTTAGCTTGCATTAAAGGGAAACTGTGCAGTTTTGGCTTGCTTTTAGTACCCCTTAAAGTCCATTATTAAAACTGAAAGTGAAACTTATCTCCTCGCTGTGAGTTTGTCATTTTAACACCTTAATCTAACAGCTGAAATGTCTCCTCAGCCTTCATTAGTGTCTACAGGAGCGATCCATCACTAAATCAAACAAATCAGCGGTGTTAAAGATCTAAACATGCAGGAAACGTGCTGGAAGCAGACTGCAGCACCAGGCATGTCAGCTCCACTTTACTAAGACTAACAGGAACTGGCGCGCCACTCTGAAGTTGCAATTGTGGTATTCTGGCCACAGAGGGCGGTGGGGGTCTGAGTGACAATCCATTAACCCTGTAAAGTATTCAGTTGCGGTCCTGGAGGGCCAGTATCCAGCATGTTTTAGGGGTTTCTCTGCTCCAACACACTTGATTCAGTGGTTGAATCACCTGTGCAGCAGCTCATCAGGCTCTGCAGAAAACTGTTGATTACCTCCTGATTGAAATCAGGTGCGTTGAAACGTGCTGGATACCTTCTTTCCAGGACCAAATTGAATACCCCTGCTCAAGAAGACGATTTCAAATTTTGAAAAAGTTGCATTGTATGCCTTTAATTAATATCTTTTTATAAGTTAAAGTAGTGATGGGAATTCCGGCTCTTTTTAGAGAGCTGGTTCTTTTGGCTCAGCTCACCCAAAAGAGCCGGCTCTTTCGGCTCCCAAGTGGCTCCTCAGATTTTCTGTTGCGTAGAGTACATTTATCACCAAAAATAATGCTAAACTATATGTTAAATGACTTACAAATGTAAAAAATGCAATAAATCAAATATTTATCATTTATATGGATTTATTAACTGAACACTTTAAGAAATCTCAACTTTCCAACTGCTGTCGCTTTGGACAAAAGCGTCTGCTAAATACAGAAACAGAAACATTTTCTCACCGTCTTCATCGCACTTTTCCCTCTCTCGCTCGCCTTTTCCTCCTCCTCATTACCTCTCGTCTCGCTCCGCCCGCATGTGCTCTGCTGTGTGTCTGAGTCTGATCCTCCCTTTTCCCCGCCCCTACTGCTCTGTGTATGGATAGTCTGGACACGCAGTTACACATGTAGACCAATCGCCTGTGGCTTTCACCAAAGCAAGGGAGGAGGGGGGAGGGAGGGTGACGGCTCCCAAGGACGAGCCGGCTCCCGTCGTTCCCTTCATAGAGCCGGCACTTAGAGCCGGTTCGTTCGCGACCGACACATCACTAATTTAAAGGCATGCTTTTTGCATCCTTCTGGGCAGCCATGTGGTTCTCCACTGCCTCTATAAACCCACCAAACGTGAAAAAATAACATTTTGTCATTGTTTGATGTCAGGCATTGTGAACCTAAAAGAAGCTGTTACAAAAGTCCCTGATTGTGACAAAAAAGGACATTATTCCCTAGGGATGAGCCAGATACTCGTTTCAGACGAGTATCCGGTACGGATAAAGCATTTTTGACGAGTACGGGCATGAAACGAGTAAAACTCGTAAATATCTGTAATCGTGCTGAAGGAAAATCCTCATTGGGTGACTGACTGTCTTCACGCTCTGTGATTGGCCAGTCAAATAGAGCGCCCACCCCTCCCTACAAGCAAAACTCTGCAGCCAGGAGCTCACAGCTCAGTCCGCATCCGGTCCATCCACGCACACAGACAGTAAAGGATCTCTCTGTGCTTGCTTCACCGTTCACGTTTCTTCAGTACTCCCTATGTTTTCTTCAGTTTGCTTCTTTTTAAAGTTACTTTAAAGTCATTTAAAGTTACTTTTTTCGTAACGTACGTGGTGCATTTGACAAGACAGAGCTGAAAACGGCTCGTGCTGCGTCAGTCACTGCTTCCTCTCCAGTCTGGGTTTTTTTTCCTCTCTCTCTCTCTCCTCTTCCTCAGGATCCACTCCCTCTTTCCTATTCACTCTCTCTCTTTCTTTACATTTTTAATCACAATTGTCTATTTTTTGCTCATTTTAAATATATTTTAATCATTTTTGAAATTCTTTTTTTCTATTTTACATGTTTTATTTTTGTGAAGCGCCCCGTGATTTTTATCTTGAGGGGCGCTATAGAAATGATCTTTTCTTCTCTCTCTCTCTTAATTCATGCACTTAAATATTAAAGTTCTGATTTTATTGAAACACTTGTTCTGTAATAGTTCCTTTACTATTGTGATCATAAACATTTAATCTCAACTCTGAGGCTGCTCTGTAAATAGTTTTCAAATAAACAATACACATGGCAACTTCTGATCAGACTTAAAATAACGTATTGATGTAAACCACACCCACCTCTGGTTAAACTACACCCACTTCCAGGTTAGGCCACGCCTGCTCCGAGTACAGATAGATATACAGATAATTTAGATGGTTGAACAGATACAGCTACAGATACAGATAGAGGTGTACTCGCTCATCCCTATTATTCCCCTTAATTCTGGAGAAAAACTGTGAGCCCATCCTGGATATCCATGTTCCTCACCTCATTGCAGCTAATCAAGGATAAGTGGGCGTGGCCAGCTCCAGCTCTTTTTCCAAAAAGTGACAGAGCCCTGAAACGGCTCATTCTGGAGGGTACTGAAAATGTCAAAAACAAAACTGCTGAAATCGCTTTGCATCAGAGGGATTTAGTGCAAAAACGTTTTAATCAACCATAGAACTTTATACCTTTAAAAAGTTAGATGTCCTGTTTAGAAGCTTGAAACATTTCTGTTAGTGCAATATCTTTTTCCAATTCAATTCTTTTAACCCAACATGGATGACTAAAATCCCTCACCTGCTTGTTTAAATATTTTATATTTTTTAGAATTTTAAAAATTGTTTTTAGTTTATTTGAAATTTTAGACCAGATGATCCCGTGACTTTGTATTTTATTATCCACGCCTAAACAAATGACTATTTTGACCATTCTGCACTGGCCGAAACATCTTACAAAGCCATCTACGTGTTTTTTAGGATGAACATTGTGAGTAAAGAAAATGTTTAAAGGCCTCTATCTCGGTCTACTTTAGAGACACAGAGATGACTTTACCAATTACTATGTTTTATTAAAAGTCATTTTTAATTGAATTTTTAACCAGTTATGTTTTTGCAGCAGTGTACACTACACACTTCATTATAATCATATTTACTTATGTGTATGATTTAACTCACTTGTCTATCTATACAGGAGCATCTCAAACACAGGCATAATTCACTTCCCAGACTTTACCACCATTTCTACATTGGCACCAAATATTATCTTGTGAGTAATTTCCTTTATATAAAGAGTATCTCTAAACTTTGTATGTCACAAAACTGCAGGATCCTCATTTCTGTTTATTTTGATCGTATTCTGTCAGTGTCACATTGCCATCAACTCTGACTGACGCCGCTCCTGTTTGTGTAAATATGCATAATTTTGTCTGAGAACGAAGCCAAACAGCACTAACGAGTGTTACCTCCTCCGCCTGCAGAGAAATGGCAGACAACATGAGGATCGACATCATTCCTGCCAACTGCTTCCAGGGCATCACAAAAGAGTACGTTGACATGTGAGTGAAGACGTTTCATTCTCTTGGTTACCACATTGTCTGGGCTGAGAGCAACAATTTGTCTCCATTTGTTCAGAGTCTGTATCGATGGTGCTAGCATAATCAAATGTTCTGTTTGCCAACCTTGGCAGTGGTCACTTTTGACAGAAAACGAGTTTATAATCGCCCTGCCCTCCACAGGAATCTGGTCCGAAACGGCTTCAAGGAAATCCAATCTCACGCGTTCAACGGGACCAAGCTCAACACTCTGTAAGCAGCTTGATGGTTGTGAAACTGGCCTCATGCATATCCAACATCCAGTGTGTGGCCGCTGAAATATGAACTTCTGGTCTTTCTTGCTCTAATCTAGAAAAAAAAAACTGGGTGTACCAGTAATCAACTGTTATGTGAGACTAAACAAAGATTGGATGCCCCGTTGTTTTCTTGCTTTGCCCTGTAATGCTTAATGTTGATGAGGACAAGATATGTACAGACACTGCAGTCTAAAAATAATGCTTATCCACTTCAGTGTCAACTTCAGAGAGCAAATAGTAGATGAATAATGCTTTGGGGCATTGTGGACCATTACTGTGTCATCTTTGGTTGCCTTTCACACCGTGTGTTAAGCAGAAAACTGCAGTTTTGGCTTGAGGTTGCATGTATGACTTTGTTTCCTGTGTGTGGTTTTGCAGCATTTTGAGAGACAACCGGTTTCTCAGTCACGTTCAAGAAGATGCTTTTGAAGGAGCCACAGGCCCAAGTTATCTGTAAGTCATTCAGATGATTAACATGCCTTAAGCCTCAACAATAGAAGGAGGCATTCAAGCACAATTATGACCTCTAGATCCTGTAGGTCATTTTAGCAACGCAGAACCTGTTCAGTTTGATCTGCACAGATTCAAAGGGATATGTCTCTTGATCAAGATTAGCAGCTGTGCCTACATCTGCCTGGATTTCCTCACCGAGACCATTTCTGCTATTAAATCTAGCCACAAGCTAAGTACGGCAGATGTTCTGCTGCAGTCTGCAAGAGCCATCTCAATGATCATCATGCACGTTCTATAGCTAAGGAGATAAAGAGACGATGATTACTTGTATGTATGAAAGCAGGGCCCAAATGAAAAACTCAAAGGGGATATATTATACAAAACACACTTTTTGCCTCATTTTTGTGCTGCCATGTGGGTCTCTACTGCCTCTATAAACAGTCCAAATGAGATTAAATGATACATCTGTTTTCTGTTAGTGTTTTGTTTTAGGTGTTACGTGCATTTGTGATGTCACAAACAGGTAAATTAAAAAAGAACAGCCTCTAATGTGCAAGAGAGAGCTACTGGAGGAGCAGTGGCTCTACTCCGAGCCCCTCCTAGAAATTGGAGCTTCTCAGCTCATAGCAGCCTGAGTAGGGGATAGGTGGGCATGACCAGCGCCAGCTTATTTCCTTAAAGTGACGAGCCCTGAAACGGCTCATTCTGGAAGGTACTAAAATGTCAAGAATAAAACTGCTGAAACTGCTTTATGTGAGAGGGATTTAGTACAAAGAACTGTATGAACATGTTTTGTAATGAGCCTAGAACTAATATAACTTATTTTTTACAAACAGTAATAATGTGTCCTCTTTATGCATTTAGTACATTAAAAGGTATAATCTCTTATAATTATCTTACTCTCATAAACAGTAGTCACAATATTTTACTTCCCCAAGCGGCTTTCTGCACCAACATCCTGAAAAATCAACAAATGTATACAGTCTGCAGCAGAGAGCTGTTACTTGTTCCCATAAATACACACAAAAGCATCTCGATTCACATAATTTAGCTAAAGATAAAAAGGACAGGTGTTTTAAAACAAAGTGCGACACAAAAGCTGCAACAGAGCAATCAATGAGACAATTAATCTGGTTTTATGAAATAAAATGCAAGTAAACATTTCATTAGGTACAAAAGCTAATTTTGACATTTAATTAAGGCAGTGGTACTCAATTAACCACTTCATAATTAATTTTCTTCTAAACTTCACAAAATATTGATAGCTATACTGCATCAGAACTTTAAGAGGCATAACAAATGTTTTAAGCTAGCCTGTTTGGCAGATTAACCATTGCAGCTTAAATTCACAAACATTGTACTTTTATCTTCAGTCGTTGCCATTTTCACCAATAAAAATGCAATGAATATTTATTAATTTCACATTTTTATTTATTTGGACCATTAAAGGTTATGATCGGTGCATGATTGAGTTAAATTTGGGAAGTGTAATGTGCTCTTCCCAACTGTTCTACTTTATGGTAAAATCATGTTTGCAACAAATACTGATAATTGTCTGTTAAAAAGATTCAAGTTTAAAATTAATTTCCCTTGCTCTTTAGAAAATGAATCATTTTTCAACCCAATTTAGATATTTACATTAAAAGTTGGCAGAGGAGTGGGGTTAATATTCAAAACAATGATTATTTTATTGCATAAAGATTAGAGTGGTGACAGAAAGTCTAAACAACCATCAGGAAAGACTGCTAAATGCTGATTAACAAGCAAATAAAGTCTGCAGCTGACAGACCACAAGGTCTCGGATTTCAAACAACTCTGTCGTGGTGTTGATGTGACATTTTCTTTTGTGTGAATATTTGAAATGCTGAAAGCTCTCTGCTTTGCATGTGTGGGGTCCAGTCTGAGCGTAGCAGTTATTAGTAGTATGCTTTAGAGAGAAATGGAATAATTTACCATTAGAATCTGTAAGATTTTTTTCAACGTAACAGCATGAAAATGTATATTAAAACTTTGTTTAACAGCAAGTTCACTTAAAGGTCAACTTCACTGAAAAACATTTTATTTTTAATTATAATCTGTCACAGTTTTCTATGGAGGTTCAACATGAAAATAGTCTCCTACACCTATCTCCTGCATTAGCTTTTACGTCACACTGTTGATAACATTGATAACGACTCATGACGGGGAAGGCTGCTGTTGGTTTAGCGTCCAGGAAACATCAGAGAACGTCTCAGCCAGCAGAAGCTAACCGTACGCAATAGCAACTCAACATGGCAGAGCTCCTCCAGGCTTTGTTACTTGTGGAGACAAAACATCAATGCTGCAGAGCAGAGTCATCGGTAACGTTGTGTTGCGTTTGTCCAATCAGAGGCGAGATGTCCAAATATCAGGAAATAAGACTTCAAATCCTGTCATGTGTTTCTATTTTCCCCTCCAGCTGACTTCTATGTCCTCAAACAGGTGCACCGGAGCTTTGTTTCCACAGAGAATCACTTACAACACATTAATTTCTATTAGAGACAACTGCAGTGCTTAACGTGAAATGCTCTTCTACCCCTATTTCCTGCAATTGCCATGAAAAGAATAAAAATGAAAGAAAAAGCAACACAAATTTAAACATTCATGGACTCCTCTTGGCTTGCAACCAGGAAAGGCTGTTGTTGATTTAGCATCCAGGAGAGAGCAGAGCATGTTTCAGCTAGTAGGAGCTAAGCGTTAGCATTAGCCACCTTCCTTCAGGCTTGTGTTATTTCTGACGATAACACATTAAAGTTGAAGAACGAGCAGAGGCAGTGGAAGAGTATTGTTGCTGTTAGCCAATCAGAGGCAAGATGTCAGAATATCACGAATGCTAACGACTCTGAGGCTCCAAATCCTGCTGTTTCCCCCACTCCTCTGACGAACTTCTACTTCCTGAAACAGGTGCGCCAGAGCTTTTCTCCCTACCATGAACGATTCGCAATGCATTCATCTATACTAGAGATTACAGCGGATTCACTCAAATAACAAGTGAATGAGAGCTTTCAATGTTTCTAGTTCTCTGAGAAATTGTGGAAAAGCTCATTTGGTTTGTTAGCAAATTGATATATTCTCATCCAAAACACCTGCTGACTTCCCTTTTGTTACCTCCTCACCAAACTGGCCTGCGCTTTTCTAATTGCTCGTGGTAATACAATAGCACGTTAAAAATCTGCATATTAATCATTGTCATTTTACTAATCTACACCTGCGTGTGTGTGCGCGTGTGTGTTTCAGGGATGTTTCCTCCACATCTCTGAGCTCCCTCCCACCTAAAGGGCTGAGCCAGGTGCGATCTCTGAAAGCCAGCTCTGCCTTTGCTCTCAAAAGCCTCCCTCGGTTGGAGAGCCTCGCCGAGCTGCTGGAGGCGGAGCTCACGTACCCGAGCCACTGCTGCGCCTTCCACACATGGCGTCGGAAACAGAGGTAGGCCGTCGACACCTCTAGTGATGCAACCAATCCATTCACATCTGCTTAAACAATCAAACACCTGTCCCCTGAATGCAGATCATCAGTAAGCTGGTAATTAGCAGCCAGAATTATTGACACTTGGAGAAATGTCACCTTTTCTCTCCGTGTGTCTCTTTTGCTCAAAGGGAAAGTGCCTCAAAGAACTTCACCAGGTTTTGTGATCTCAGTGAAACAGGAACGTGAGTCCATTTTTTCAGTCTGCTTTTGGGTTTATTGTATTAAAATTGATTATATCTTTAATAAATTCATAACTTGAACAAATTCTATAAATTCCACATGAATTTCATTATTTAACAAACTCATGACTTCTTTTGTCTCAGAGAGCCTACTGATGACGGCATGAATCTGGTTTATGACATCAACTTCCAGTATCCAGATCTGGAATTTGATTGTCTCAACAGCCCCTTCGTCTCATGCACGCCAAAGCCGGACGCCTTCAACCCCTGCGAGGACCTGCTGGGCTTCGCCTTCCTACGTTGTCTCACCTGGATCATCACGGTCTTCGCCGTGGCCGGTAACCTCGCCGTTCTAGTCATCCTGCTCGTCAGCCACCAGAAGTTAACCATCTCTAGATTCCTCATGTGCAACCTGGCCTTTGCTGACCTGTGTATGGGGCTCTACCTGATGCTCATTGCCTACATGGACTACCACTCCCGTCATGAATACTACAACCATGCCACCTACTGGCAGACGGGGCCTGGCTGCAGCACAGCAGGCTTTCTGACCGTGTTTGCTAGCGAGCTTTCAGTGTACACACTGTCTGTTATCAGCCTGGAGCGCTGGCACACCATCACCAATGCCATGCATGTCAACAAGAGGTTGAAGATGCATCATGTGACAGCCATGATGGCGGCAGGCTGGGGCTTCTCTTTGGTAGTTGCATTGCTCCCTCTAGTGGGGGTAAGCAGTTACAGCAAAGTGAGCATCTGCTTGCCCATGGACATCGACACCGTGGGCTCGCAGGTTTATGTGGTGGCTGTGCTAACTCTCAACGTTGTGGCTTTCCTGTTGGTGTGCTACTGCTACATCTGCATGTACCTCAGCGTGCGCAACCCCGAGCACTCCACCCGCCACGGAGACACAAAGGTAGCCAAACGCATGGCTGTGCTCATTTTCACAGACTTTCTGTGCATGGCACCAATCTCCTTCTTTGCCATCTCTGCGGCCCTCCGTATGCCCCTCATCACCGTGACCCACTCCAAAATCCTGCTGATACTTTTCTACCCCATCAACTCCCTCTGCAACCCTTTCCTGTACACCATCTTCACACGGGCGTTCAGGAAAGATGTGTGCCGACTGCTGAGTCGCTGCCACGCCAGCTCTGATTTCCACAGATCACAGACGACAGCGTCACAACAGAGCAGCACCAACAAAGTGGCCGACAGGCAAACCCACTCGTTGAGCTTCTACGCTCACCACATGAAGATGAAGGGCTGCTTTTTAAGTAAGGGCGCTACATGATCATCAGCAGGTTTGTGAACTTGAAGGCAGCACTTGCTGAGGAGACTGACCGTTATTTTATTATTTGCATTGTGTGAATCAGATTAAATCTGATTTATTTTGCATTGCAAACAGAATTTCCTTCAAGAATCCTGAAATTGAATCTCCATTTCTGCTAAGGGACGGTGGTGGAGCTGGGATGGAGGCCAGTCAAGCAGGACTTGTGTACATTTTCCAATATAACATTTAAAAGTATGTAAATATGTCTATATATCATCAGGTTAAGATTTGTGTACAATGAAATAGTTGTATTTGTTTTAGCTAAAATGAGATTTTGTTTAATTGTACTCAGAAGATATTTAGACTGGAATGCTTGAAGGCTGCAGACAGAGCAGCCACAACAAATCTGGAGTCAAGTTAAAAATATCTAAATATGTTGGATTTTCACAATAAAAGTTATTTTAAAAAAAGCATGCCTGATCATTAATTAAAGTTAAGCAATGCGTTTGTTTATGCATGCCAATCACTTCAGCTTTGGCTTCTAAAACCTCGGAACACATTTACAAAAACACATTTGGATATTTTCAGCAGTTTTTCCTGACACAGTTTTATATTGTTTATGTATTGTGTAAATTTCTCCAAACTCACTAGATCTTTACCCCCCCCCCCCCCCCCCCCGTTTTTTTTTTTGCTGCTTTTGCAATTTTTTTCCCTTCACAATTTCCTTTCAAATTTTGCCAAATTTTTTAAAAGTCTATGTTTGAAGGTTGATTTCCATTGCAAAAAAAAAAAAGTCCACATGTAACGTTTTGTACTAGTGTTTTTTAACATATCCGTAATAAAGGTTGTTAGTGTCAGAAATAGCATTTGCACATCACTGTTGATTTCCATGGATACAGTTTTCTTAAAGGGAAATTTGCTTTTAGCCCCCCTATTGTCCACTTAGTAAAACCAAAATTGAAACTTATCTCCTCGCCATGCGTTTCTCTCTTTAACACTTTTGAAGCTGAAATGTCTCCCTAGCCTTCATTAGTTTCTACAGGAGCGGTTCATCACTAAATCAAACAAATCTGCTGTGCTGATGATGTAAAACATGCAAGAAATGTGCTGGAAGCAGACTGCAGCGCCTGTTATGGCAGCTCCACTTTACTAAAGTCCAAGAGGGTGGGGTATTAATTAGCGTGAGATATTAGAGGTGTGGCGTGAGAGCGTGTCAAAAGGGTCAAATGCGTGAGTCTCACTATCAGTGTGTGAGAGTTGGCTGCCCTGTTGCTAATGATGATTTTACAATATGAAGAAGTTGAGCAGTATGCCTTCATAACACTTGTGTTTCCAGCTTCCTTCCTTCTCCTGTTTGAAAGCAACTGTAGTAAACAACAGCCTGCTGTAGCTAGTGCTAACAAGCTAATGCTAATGTGAGCCATCTAATTCTAAATAAACCACAGAGTAAAAAGATCCCCACTGTTGGACAAAAAACATAACTTAGCAACAAAGCCAGGTCTCCATCAGTTTGTGATTTCGTAGCCTCCTTTAGCTCCCTCAAACGAGTGTAGGTCGCACCGATGTTCGCGCTGGTTTTAGCCCTTTGCTTTGCCTCCAAAGACATAAGTTCCTTACTTTAACAGGCTCCACCATGATGCCAAAAAAATAAAGCTTTTTCAGTTCACTGAAAAAGATCTAACTGCTAGCCTTTGTCTGAGCTACCAGCAAAGTAAAAACAGCCATAAAGCAGGCAGAGACCTCCCATTAGTGGTCCTACCTAATCCTGGTCAGCAGAGGGCAACAGAGTGCTGTCCAGTTTTAATTTGCTCAAGTTCATGGCTGAAGAACCACTATAACCAGCTTGGAATCAACAGCTTAGTGTTAACTCTTTAATGTTGCTAAACTGGGCTAAAACATTACATTTCCCTCTAAGATTGCATTTTATTACTCCCTGCAAGGCTTTTCTTAATGATTTATTTAAAATGTCTGTTTTATGACAGGTTTCTGAAACTCTGGCATAACCAGCTACTTTGTTTCTCCTGTTCTCAAACAAAACTCAGTCTTTCTGTAGCTGATTCAGTTTGGAGCCTTTCTGTTCACTTTTAGACAACAGAATTGGATTTTGAGTCAATTGCAATCATGTCGCTATGGAACAGGATCCTGATTGTGACTGCAGCATGGTAAACAATGTTGTTCACTGTATTTATGCATAATAGCTTATGAGCAGTTTTAACAATGAGGAATTTCCAGAAATTTAATACGTTTAGTTTTGCTTTGCTAAAGAAAAACAAAATCTAACAAATCATGCATCGTCTTTCAATTTACATCAAATAATAGCAACAAAATCAATAAGAGCATTTTCAAAATTCAACAAAATATGCTTGTGTTTTTTCCTTTAACACAGTCTTTTGATCTGCTCATCACCACTCTGCTTCTCCAACTGCCTTAGAGAACACATGGTCCTTCCCTCCATAGCTCATCACCCCATCCTTCAGGTGGAACTTCCAACGATTCTTGCTGCGGTGAATCTGCAACAAGATGAAATTTTTACAAAAACCCTTCAGCGATTGATTTTGCTTAAAAAGTATCTAGAGAGAAGCTTTTTCTTTTTTTTTTTTTACCTTGTCATATTGGCAAACAATTACATTCTCAGTGTCAAAAAGGTCTGGGATGTCCTGCTCCACCACGTCATCGCCAGAATTCAGAGGGTCCTAATAAACACGGTGCATTGTGGGGAAAAAGTCAGTATAACAAACAAAACATAACAGATCATTTCTATTGGAGGGTGAGCCAGGCTCATCACCACCTCCTCCTCCACATTCGTGAGCTCCACTGGGTCCTCGTCGCTGGAGGAGATGCTGTTGCTGTCGTTGCTGATGTTTTCATCCTGCAGAGCTTTGATGGCTTCTGCGTTGATGAAACCCAGAAAGTCATTCTCATCCTGAGGGATCTCCTCGTCCTCCTCAGAGTTGTCAGGAGGACCATCCAGCTGAACGAGCTCCGATAGCTGACTATAGGCGTAGTCCAAGTCCAGCTAAATGAGGAGAAGAAGCAGCCGTCATGAAGCCAACAGAAGATCGCTTGAGACTTTTAAACCAACAAACTCACCCCAAGATCAGCATCGGGCTGATTGTCTGTGCTCCCAGCAGACAGCTTCCTCGCCTTCTCGCTCTCCTCCTCAATGACTTCCTTCAGGATTTCATCGATGTCTCTGCTCGGTACCGTCTCTTTTAAAGCCCGTTCTGTGCTGATCTGGAAGTTTAATAGCTGAGTAAGAGGCGAAGCGTTGACAGGTTCTTGTGATGGGCTGGCCTCGTCTTCTCCCAGTGTGATCTCAGACTCATAAGTGGGATGTGGAAGATCACTCTCTGGGATCATAGGCAGACTGGTGTGTGTTTGTGCAGCAAAGGAGGCTGGCTCCGTCTCCTGGTGAAGACGGGGATTTGATGGACCTGGGGGTGGACGGGGGGCAGGGGCCTCCCTCTGTGTGGGACGGGATGCAGGGGCTTGAGTAACCACGACGGGAACGTTGACTTTATAAAGCTGACCTTCGGGGGGGGGAGAGATGAAGAGTGAAACGATGTTTCTATCAGCTGGTTTGGGCTACAGACACAGGCTGAATGAATTTTAAGTTGTTTGTACCAGAAGCTGTTTGCAGAGTGACTCCTGCTGGTATCTGAACGGGGTACGCCAGCGCAGCGGGGAGGGAAAAAGTAGCAAGCGTCTCTGAATTGTTCTGCAAATAACAGAAACAAGAATAGTTTTACCCTTAAATTTACACATTCGTGTTTTATATATATACACACACACACGTTTAAAATTTTAAAAGGTGTGGAACACTGAAAAAATACTTTAATGATCGTTTCTGATTATAATCACTCAGTTTGTCAAACGGACTGAACATGAAAATAGTCTCCTACACCGATCTCCTGCATAGCTTCCGATAGGAAATAGACGGTGAAACTCTAGGATTTGATAAGCCTGACAGATCTACGTCACGCTGTTGCATTCATGGACTCACCCACCTTGACTCGTAACGGGGAAGGCTGTTCGTTTCAGTTGTCTCAGCTGGTAGAAGCTAACCATTAGCATTAGCGACTCCACCACACAGCAGAACTGTGTGCAAACAGAGACATTGGTAGAGTCTTGTTTCTGACTCCAAATCCTGCCGTCATATGCCCAGTCCCAATACTCACACTTCCACCCTTGTGCCCTTCAATTACGCGTTCCCAGCCATGTGAGTGCATAGGGTGTTGTGATGCAGAAGGTGACCACACCCTTTTGAGCACCCTTATTCTGCACTTTGCATCAATGCAGACTTGGGCAAAGGTTATTGCCCACAATGCATTGCTGTGTGGGAATTTTGAGAAGAAAATATTTCAGAAAATATTTTCAAATGAAAGAAGATAGATTATATTTATTCATGCCCTGAATGTTTTAGACTAAGACTTAATCTGGACAGAAATTAATTTAAATCCAAGTCAAATAAATGTTTGAAAGTGGTTAAAGATTTTTTTTTAAAGTAGCACAAACAGCAACCGGCTTCCCAGCATGCTTCGCAGTCAGAGATGCAACGCTCTGTGTCCCAATTCAACACAGATGTGTGCTACACACTCGGAGCCTTAAGCCTGATTCATGCTTCTCCGTCAGCTCCGCAAGAGACAGACACTCACGGACTGACGGAAGTGTTTTGCTCTCATACTTCTCCGTCTCCTGGGGAGTGTTGTAAAGCAATTCCCCGGCAGGACAACAGAGGGCGTAGCGCTGTTCTGTGGTATCCTGTCATGTATCGGTCCAAGATAGTGTGTTTGTATTGTGTTTTTTTGTATACAAGAGACTTTTTAACACGGACATATTTGTCTCTCATTCTCCTCCACCTCTTCATGAGCTTGCCACCTCTAAACCCACGTTTCCTGTCATTTCCGTCCACAAATAAAACGCTCTTTTCACTCCTCCAGTCACGGGGGAATTAAACGTTCTTATTTTTAGAGTTTTTTCGCGAGGTGTTCTTCAAGCTTCTCCGTGTCTGCAGCTAGATATCCTCGTGTCTCTTTATGTTTTTGAGGGCGCAATGGCGGCGGTGGAGACAACAGCGGTGCCCTGACCAATCACAAGCTTGCGTTCTCCGTCTCAACGGACGGATGTTTAGAAAAGAGAGCTCGACTCCGTACGTCCTTGCGGGGCTCTCCAGCAGGCCCGCAAGGACGGATAATGGCGTTGCGTGTCTCCGCACTGACACAGACGGAGAAGCATGAATCAACCTTTACTCCACGTCTAAGTGCACCTAACAGTAAGGTGAGTATTGGGATTGGAAGTGAAGCTCTCCTCTGATTAGCCTCGCTTCTTGTTCCTGAAACTGGCGCACCAGAGTTTGTTTTCCCCCAGAGTACGGCTTGCAAGGCATTCATTCCTAGTACTGCAAATGTGTTGATTCAAGGAGTGTTCCACACCTTTAAGCCTGGAGGCAGTGTTGAATGAGGATCGCTTAGCTTTACATTTATATTTGCAAGAGTGTTTTATGTTAAGTTACACAAATATAGAAACTATAGTGATCATTTGCAACACGTAACGGATATTTCAGAACTGAGGACTTCTCCGAATCCTTTGTCTCATCTAGGTTAAAGCATCGTTCTCATTATTCCACACATCTTACTGGATTAATCACTAAGGCCTCTCTTTTCCATAAAAAAAACCTGGAAGTTATATAAATGTAAATATTCAAATGAATGTGGTTGGGAGTTAAAAATATGCACAGACTTAATAAAGTAGGTTAACTCGTTATGCGAGTAAATTTATGCAGAGCGCTGATATTTGGCAGCATTTTAAAAACACAAATGTAATGCTATAAATAAGAAATTTGTATTTTATGCCTGACGTTTTAATTTTTGATTTAAAACACATCTGTAAGGTGAAGAACTGAGGCAGAGGAGGGGTTGCTCTTGAAGACACTTGCCTTTGCTGGTAAGCCGTTGCTCTGACTTGCAGGAATGGAAATGGAAGCTAAAAACAAAAATGTTTTTCAAAGGTGACACACGAGTTTTAATGCATTTCAATCCCCTAGGAATTATAAATGAATTGTTTATATAGCAACCCACAAATGCAATAAAATAAAATTGCATTTGGCTTTATTCCCACTTAAGGTGGATTATAAGGCATTAAACATTTAGGTAGAGTTCTGCATCAAATGACCTGATAGTTCTGGTTCAGTCTGTTGGTAGTTAGCAGGAAGCTGGAGCACAAAGTTGGAGGAGTTGATGCTGCTCTTCCTAAAGTCATCCATCACTTTTGATTGCATCAACTTTGACTCCCACAGCTATGTAATACAAGATATATACGCAAAAGGCAATGAGAAGGTGGACATCTTTTGAGACTGAAAACGTGAACTCAAACTGAAAAGCTACTCACATGCCTTAAATCATCCAGGACTTGGTCTTCAAGCCCTTCATCAACAAAGAGCTCCCTCGTGTTCTCAATCACATCATCAATGATGGACAAGTAGAGTTTAGCCTGCAGAATTATTATTGATGAAAACTGCAAAACAATCTCCATAAAACAGTTCCAAACAATTCACACCCCACACCATTAATTGTTTTTAAACGGTAAAAATGGCCTATATTTGATATAGCACCTTCTTGAGTCTTGGAACCCCCCAAGGTGCTTTACAACACAATCAGTCATTCACCCATCCACACACACATTTACACCCTGGTGGTGATGAGCTACATTGTAGCCACAGCTGCCCTGGGGCGCACTGACAGAGGCGAGGCTGCCGAGCACTGGCGCCACCGGTCCCTCCGACCACCACCAGCAGGCAAGGTGGGTCAAGTGTCTTGCCCAAGGACACAACGACAGCGACAGACTGAGCGGGGCTCGAACCTGCAACCTTCCAATTACAAGGCGAGCACTTAACCTGTGCCTCCGTCACCCCACAAAGCAGTGCTAACTTTTCATGTGGCTTCCATTCATGATCTGGAATGCATTGTAGTACAGCAGAACTGTTGCCTGGCAAAAATAAAGTCGTAGGTTCAAATCCTGGCCACAGCCTTTATGCAAAGAGTTTACATGTCCTCCCTGTGCATGCATGGGTGTCCTCTAAAAACATGAGTTTCTACGTGTGAGTGAGGTTTTATTTTCGTCCCGTGTGGCTGTGATGTCACCCTCCTCTCGGCCTATGACTGCTGGAGCTGTACACCAGTTTCCACAACATTCATGACGAACAAGCTTGTTTATGTTTGAGCTTCTAAAATAGTTAAAACATCTGACATCTAACATTATTATTATTGACAGAAACACATCTCCTTTAGTGTACTTTGAGGAGATGACTTTATAATTTTTTTTTCCCAATAGCATTGATTTCTTTGCATTTGATTGTAGCTTCAAGCACTGACATTCAAAGGATATTTAGAAAAGCACCGCTTGAATAATTAAAATGTAATGCTTTTAGGATTTAGTTTAGGAGGTATACAACCACCACATGTAACAGAGGCACATTTCCTGTAGAATATTTCTGGAAATGCTGATTATTTCATGACTTTTTTTTCAGTTTTAAAAAGGAAATCAAAGAAACATTTTAAAAAAATTAAATCAAATAAACAATGCTGTTTTTGCTGCCAAAAGCCAGATTTTTAAATTACACATCAGTCAGGTCTCATTTAACAGACTCAGTCAGGAGACAACAGTCCAGTGACGCCCCCAAGAGGTGGCCTGGGGGGGGGCGCATTACCACCTCTGGAAAACTGATGCATATGTTTGTTAAAATTAAGCCGCATTTTCACAGGGGGAGGGGGGGGCAACAGTCATTAAATAATTATACAGCATATAACAGATGCTACAATTGGTTCCTTTCTCCATCTGATTTTCTCCTTATTCCCCTTAAAAGGAGATGATATGTAAAAACTTATGTCCATTTTAGCATGGGAAACATCTTGATAGCTGAAACTCACCCAAAAATATATTATCCCTATAATCACAAAGAAGTATGCACACATTTATGTCTTCATAATATGTTTAATCCTCTATGCCAAATTTTGTAATTATTAGCAAGAAAAGACCCAAGACACCAGTTTTCAATTGGGGAACACAACTTAACACAACACCAGCACCAAAATCAGCAATCAAACTGTAACTTACCACTGGGCTGGAGTTGGACAGCATTATTCAGGTTAAACTATGAGGTTAACAAACATATTACAGATAACTCATGGGGATTAGTCCCTGAAGGTGCACACAGCTGACACTGATCATCATCAAGCTTTGCTAACAGGCTGAACCTGGGCTGAAGACAATGATGTGTAAAAAAGAAACAGGCCAACAAGCAGAAAAGGCTCCAAAAACGAATTATGGGAACAAATAAAAACATTATGGTTTCATTTTTAACTACAAATTTTGCACATTGTGGGCTAAAGTCAACCCGATGCTACACCTCTGAGACAGGAGAAATAGCATCCAGCATCCAAATCGCATGAAAATGGGGTGCATCCATCGCTGTAACAAGGCTGTTTTCACTGAGCTAATTCTACCAACACATCTCTGTTAGGCATTGTGAATCATCAAAGCAGAGCTGTATCGGCTGCACGAGATCATTATGTCAATAACTCAGAGCTGACGCTCAAAAAGAGGCCTTTGAAGTCATCCGGCATTGCTTTGTGGTCATTTCAGTTTGACCATTTGGTATCACAAGTTCTATTTGTTTGCTTTGCTTCCATCTTTTGTCACCTCTGTGTATGCTTGTCATATTCTGCATGTTTTTTTTTTCTTTTCTGTAGTGCAGGATGGGGAAAGTAAATGCACTGGCAGCTGTGCAAGATAGGGCTATTCAACTCTGTCCCATTTGTTGGATTTACCGTCGACTGGCCCGCCAACGAAAGGTTTCCACTGTTGCACATGATCCGGGAGCTCAGTGCATTTTAAACACAGAAAAGCTAAAATACAAGCAGCTAAAAGCATTTCTCCCATTTACAAAATGGTTTTTAAACTTTGTGCTTGGTAGATTCTCAGCAGCAGCAGTTACGATCAGTTTTCTCTGAGCAGATGCTTGGAGAAACTGGAACTCTCTCAGAGCGGTAGGTCGATTCTTCCTCTGAAAGCAGAAGCATTAAACACCTCCCCGGACTACGGCTGCTAAGGTTTCCATATAAACACTGTTAGTGAATTAGTCCCCGCACATGAAACTAAAAGTAACTTGTCCCTAAAGATGTCAAATAAAAACTAACAATCCAACACAATAATAATCTGGCTAAATAAGTTTTTGCATGTCTAGGCTTTACTCTAATAACCACACCGGTGTAAAATTTGTCCTCTTCTGCAAGATACTTTCATTTCTAATCTCACGCGCCACTTCAAGGAGCAATGTGTAAGAATTCTACAGTGAAATATTCCCAAGAGTAATCTCTCAATCGTGTTGGAAGGAAGTTGAAATTGAAACAGATTTCTTTTTTCTGATTTTGTGGAAAACCATGTGTTTTTGTTGGGTGAACGCCTTCCTCAGTATAAATAAATGCACTGGAGGCAAATGAGAATCCATCCAAGATGGCAGCCCGCTGCTACACCAGCTCCAGTCTACGTACAAGTCTGTGGCTAACAGCAAGATGGCAAACAATCACATGTCCTCCAACACCAGAAGCAATTACCTTAATAAGTGTAATAAGTGCTCACCACCACAAAATACCCAAGAATGCCAACACCAGATATGCTAATGTATTCATCTACTTATCTCACTGCGTATGACTAGTCTACACTCATCCTAAAGAATCTTCTGGCACTGATCTGTATCTAGCAACAGCCATGAACCTCACTAAACAGTGATAGTCATTTCCTTTTGCTCAGAAAAGGCTGCAGTAACCAAATTTGACCACAGGATGTCGTCCTTACATATTACACCTTAACTTACCACATGCACCACTTCTGAAGATCATTCCTTAAAATGATGCATAATTTGTTCAGGCAGTGTGTCACTGCTGGATGATGATACACTCACACAGGGTAACAAAAACCAGTCATTTAGGTTTATATATTTTTATTGGATGTAAATAACATCCAGCTTAAGCCAGGTACCTTGTTCGGTTACCCCGAGCCCCGTCACCCTTTTATTTGTTCATTTCCAACCCCAAACATTTCTACAACCCAACAAGCAGAAATACCTCACAATAAAGATTTCATTTGCTTAAATAAAAAATGCAATCCTCCAGAACACCGCCTTGGTCTTAGGTCAAAGGTCGGTTCAAGAGGAGTTATAAAAATATCACTTTACATCACTGAGTGTTCATACTAATGTCCATACTGTTGCACAGTAAAGACTTAAGGTTTTATGCAGTTTCAGTTGTTCTTTAAATCTTTAAATGCATCTTTTTATTCCAGATACATAAAGACAGATGGAGTTACAGTATTAATACTAGAACAGGTAGATCAAATGTAAATACCTAAATCTGTTAAGACAGCATGATTTTAATCTTTATTAGGAAAAAAGAAGGCCTAAAAATCAGTTACTAATTAGCTTATCTCGATTATTATCTTAGTTCTTCTCATTTGGTGTGAATTTAATCACTCTGGAGGGCAGTGATGATGATACAAATGCAAGATTTTATATACACAGTAGTTTAAACTGGAATCATACAATGCATAGATACACTGAAGGTAAAGTGCTAGGCAAAAAGACTATTAAACTGCTTATTAAATGTAAATTAGATTCAGTCTTGGCGTTAGGATGCAACATTTGTTAACCTCTATGAAAAACTACCAGGTTATGTTTGCTGAGATTAATCAGACAGGGAATGAAAGCACAAAGCTCCTCATTACTCCAACTTTCATTATTGTTTTTCCACCCAAAGTAGATCCTGAAAAACATTAAAACCAAAGGAATGATGCCCGTGTTTAGCAGCTTCTTATCATCACTGTGTCATACAAGCAGACTGTCTCTGTGACTCCGTTTCAATCCATTTCTTCTCCACTTCCACCTAAAACAGGAATACAGATTACAGATTTGGGTGAGTTTAACTAAATCAGGTTCAGGGATGTTAGAATTGGAAGAGGCGACTCACCTGACAATGGTAGCGAGTCCAGCTGGTCACGTGTTTCTGCGGCTGGATGTCGTTCACCGTGCCGAGGGACTTGACGCGGGTCTGAGACACAACGGCGCCCATGATTTCACATTCCATTGTAACGAAAGGGTACCAGTCGCTGGGGATCTCCTGATCCGACCCCAGCTCCAGTTTGCAGGAAAATGAATGAGGATGATTCACAGCTGCAGAAAAAGAAGTCTGATTTCTAGAAGGTGCACCGACAAACACGGCATTTACGTGTAAAAGGCTAATGCTCACCTGTATTCTTTGCAGGTAGTCTGTCGATCTTCCACACAACAGCTGAATAAACGTTCTCGTACTTGACAGACCCGATCGAGACCTGCATAACAGGCTGCGAGTCAGCACTGGTGATGGAGCCCAGGCAGGCATTTCTGTTCATTCTGGACTTCAGTGACCTCTGTCGCAGTAAGGCCACCGTCTGTGTTACTTTGACCCAGTTGCCTGGCGCCGGCACACGGATCACTACGTTCTCACACAGCGGGTAGTGGATGTCAGAAACCCTAATGGACGACAGGAAGGTGGATGACATGCTGAGGAAGACCTGCAGCTCCACATAGGCCCCTTGAACAGTGACCACAGCTTTGACCGAGAAGGGAATTTCAGTGCAACCCAAGAATGTCGTTTTGTACCGCATCAGCTCTGCCCTGCACGCATCAGGAGGTGAGAACTTTATGAGTCGGGACCTCTGAAATTCAGCCTCGTTCACACATTGGTGAAAATGGCAGTCGGCGATCTCCATCCAGACTTCACTGGCCTTGTCAAACCCGTAGCTAGAGTCGAACTGCAGCAGTCCAAGATCATTCAGGGCAAGAAAACAGTCACCCTGTCCACTCAGGAAAGCAAGACAGTGGATCTGGGTAATGGCTGCTCGCTCTTTGACTCCTCCTGATGTGTCCATCAGAATCCAGATGTGATCGGTGATCTGCAACGACAGCTCCTGCTCCTCGTAGTTCCGCCTCTGCTGGTGGGGCACGCTCAGTTTGAAGAGCTCTTCCTCTATTGATACGACCAGGTCCTCCATGTCGCTGTGGACTGTTGATCCAAACTTGAGCAGCTGTTCCACCTCTGCGTCGTGAGTCACCTCCTGCTTTGGATGGTAACGTTTCTTTTCTGTGTAGGAGAAGTGTTCCACCTTGACCGTAAGGACCTTTCGAGGCTCGCTGTAGCTTTCCACTTTGAGATGTGAGAGCCTGCACTGAGGAAGGAGCTGGAACTCTTTGAATGGCTTCTCCAGGCCTTTCTCGAAGTACATCTGCAGCACGCCTCCAGGCAATAGGCGGAGATAGATGGGCCCCCACTGTCGAGAAGACATGCGGTTCTTTTTTTCAGGAATCCTGAGCAGGATAGGCCAGCCATCTCTCTTCTGGCTGCGAAACAGCCCCCGAGGAACAAACTGAGTTGAACCTTCACCCAACAACTCCCATCTGTAGCTCAGCCGCCTCCCATCGCCTTTCTGTGCATCTACGTCTTCATCCGTCCCTGTCCGTAGATCTTGCAGCTTGTTGCTAACAAAAGAAAATGAGTTCTGGAGTTGATCTCGTGGAGGCTCACTGCCGTCTTTGGTACGAATGAAGAAACGCGGAAGACTGGTGTCTGTGTCGGAGTCCGAAGAGGAGTCACACAAATCTGTGCCGTCTCTGGAATTGTCCCAAAAAGGATTATAATGTCCTGAGTTCTTCTGGAAAGAGGGGAAAAGGCTCGGCCCATCCGAGCTGTGACTTGGGATTTCTGGCGCAGGAGCGGGAACAGTGATGCCCGACGGGCTAGAGAAACTCCGTGAAAAAGTATTGCTTTGGCTGGATTTGGTGTGAAATGAGGACACGCTACTAGGAGCTCTGCTCACAGAAGTGCAAAAGGGTGCAGAAGATTTTCTACTCAAACTCGAGTGGTTTTGAGGGGATTCCAGGGAACAATTGAAGCTCCAAGAAGTGTCTTTAATTGGAGGAAGTACCAGCTTCAAACCATTGGGACGTGGTACCGAAGTTTTGAGAAGATCTGGCGACTGCAGAGGCTTTGGAGGAGATTGGAGTGGCGTGCTATCTTCATCAAAAGTGACCCAGTTAGAAGGATTAGTGGAACACATGGTTGAAGTTGTAAAAAAAAATAAAAAAAGCTCCTGGCTAACCAGGTCTTCAGTTGAAAGACCCTGCTGCCCTGTTGGGAAACACAAAAGAACACAGATACGTGCATTTCATTTGAGATTCTAACCACAATTAACTGCAGATAAGACAGAGTACATAAGCATATTTCCAGAGATTGTGTAGGTTACCCCGTAGGTCTTATAGGTAGGGATGAACACCAAATTTGGTACTTTTTAAGGCACCGACCGAATTCCATAGTACCAACTGAGTACCAATTCATGTCATATGAAACGGTGCCTTGTTTCGGTACTTGTGCCATGCGCAAGAGCGTAACGTCGTCAGTCAATGTGGGCGAGCTGTAAACAAAGAGAGGAAGCGTTCTGAAGTTTGGGCCCATCACCAAATGTGATGGGCTACTGGGTGATGATGAAACCAGCGATAAAGATCTGAGGATGAGGCATCTTAATCTGCTCCAGCAGCTAAATAAACTGTTTAAGATAACGTTAGCTTGACAGTTTAGTTTTGGTTATACATAGCTAATGGTGCGTTCACTTTCTCCTCGGAAATTCAGTTTGAAAATGAACGGCAAAAGGAACGAAGATACACAGTAAATTTAGTTCATAGCAAAGAAGTTTGCTTCAGTGTAATTTGTAGTTTATAAAACTACAAGGACCCACCATCATACAGTTTGTCCAGAGGAGAAAGGAGAGGAAAAGGAGTACATGAAGCTGGGTTTAGTTTTTGGAACACCACGATATTATAATACAAACTGTTGTACGGCATCGACGTTTGCTTTAGTTTAATTTGTAGTTTATAATATATGGTCTCCTCATTAGAGTAATTCCAGAGGGCATAGAAGAGGATTAGGAGTCCATGGAGCTGGGTTTGTTTTTGCATAATTTAGAAACAGTTGTTGTTAAAGGTTTTCATAATGAAGAATTTTATACAACACTACGATGAACAAATACAAACAGTTGTATCATGATATTTATCAAATATGGTTATATATTGGAAAAACAATATATATGTAATTTAAAAAGTAATTTAAATAATTATTAAACACTCAAAAGTATCAAAAATTGGTACTGTTAAGTACTGGTATCGATTCGTAGGTACCGGGAATAGGTACAGTATCGATTCAAATGTCAAAAAGTACCCATCCCTACTTATAGGTCCTATCGTCTTTTAGGTATGAGGGAAAAAAACCTTCTCTGGTGAATGAAATCTTATGAAAGTCAATGGACAACCAGATTTAAATCCTCTTCAACTCGAGAGTATAAGAACCCAGAAAAGCACAGAATGCTCTTCATGGTCTCAACTGTTCAAGGTCAAGACAATAAAAATTTTAAAATACCATCTAAAGGAGCGATTTGAGGCAAAACCTCAACAAACTAAAGGACCGCAAACACCTGCCATCATGAATCCCAAGACAGCGGAGCTTTTTGAGGGAGTGCGTCTCTCGTATTATCTTGTAGAAAACTAACACTAAGAAAAACATCCCACCAAAGGGCAAACATGGTGGTGGTAGTGTGATGGTCGGGGTTGCTTTGGTGCTTCAGGATCACTTGCTGTAACTAACAGAACAATCAAATCTCTTCTACCAGAGAATCCTGAAGAATGTCTAAATTTCTAATTCACTCACTCTTAAATAAAGTTACTGTGGTCTCTAGTATGAATGAATGAATGCTTTACAAGTTGTCTTCAGTAGAAAAAAAGCTCTGGCTTGGGAGGACTGGGTGGCAGGAAAACGACGAGATTATGAGTCTTACTCATAAATATTCATGATATGCAAGCATCTCATCCCTGATTGGCCAACAGCAATATGACTCTGCTGCTGCCTTCATTCACTCTTCATTTTTGGGGAAAATAACAACGTTCATGTTTCATCTCCAAAAATAAGCCTGAATCTGTTCTGCCATGTTGTGGAGTCGCTAATGCTAACAGCTAGCTTCTACAAGCCAAGACATGCTCTGGCTCTCCTGGACCCTAAATCAACAACAGCCGTCCCCAGTCGTGACCCAAGTTGGGTGAGTCTATAGATGCTCATTTTCCGCATGGCGAAGAGAGACTGGTCTTTTCTGACCCGATCATTTTCCCGTCCATTTCCGTCCAGCAGCTAATGCAGGTGATGGGGCTGAAGAACATGTTCACCTTCAGCATGAAAATAAAAACTCAGGTAAAGAGCCCCTGTGCACCTTCCTGCTCCACTAAACTATCAAGTGCAGAATCTGGCCAGTAGAGGGCTGCAGAATGGTGTCAAACATGACACTGGTCAAGTTTCTAACTCACCAGTCACTGAGATCAATGTGAAAGCTCTAGCTCAAACCTGGGCATTTTACGGCCCGCGGGCCACATACGGCCCTTTGGTTGACTTTGACCGGCCCGCGTAAGGTTAATTGGAAATTACAAAATAAATGTATTTTCTCATTTTACCTCATGCATGGGCTAAGGCTGCATTGCTTTTATTTTGAAGTTGTTTTTTACGTGCACAATGACGCAATACGTATAGCAACAAGTGTCCGCGGTTGACATGGTGATTGTAGCCCCCAGAAATGTCCGCTCATGCAAAAAAAAGAAAGATGCCGAATGCAGGATTTTCAACAAAAATTGGACTGCTAAGTATTGTTTTTACTGAAGTCGGAGGTAAAGCCGTGTGTTTGGTTTGCGGGGAGGAGATTGCCGTGTTTAGGGACTACAATTTGAGTCGGCATTACGACAAGAAACACTCGGAAAAATCCAAGAACTTGTCTGATGCTGAGAGGGCACGGACATCCGAAGCTTTGCTAGCAAAGTTGCAAAAGCAGCAAGGCTTTTTACTAAGCTTCACACATCCAGGGATGCAGCAACCAGGACCAGCTTTGTGATATCCCACAAAATAGCTAAAAACAGCAAGCCGTTTTCGGAGGGAGAGTTTGTCAAAGAGTGCATGGTCAGGGCCGGCTTTGCCGACAGGCGACACAGGCGGCCGCCTGGGGCGCCATCTGATGGATAGGGCGCAAAAAAAAAAAAAAAAAAGTTTGTTACATTTGTTTGTTATATGAAATGCACTCTCTACATACTCAAAATTCCCCTTTGAAATGACATGAAATTAAAACATCAATATTTAAATTCTAATGATCTGGCTGCATGACGAGCTCCCGCTTGGGCCACCGCTCCGATGCATTTGACCGTTAAGGGTGCCGTAGATCACGTGCGTGGGTAGCACTGCAGAAGGACATCCTGTTGTCGTCGCGTTTAAACTTTTGATATCTTTTACGATGAAAAGAGCACCTAAGCCATCGGGATCAGCATTCCGAAAGCGAAGGAAGGAGGAAGAAAAAAAACGGGCCCAAAGCAGAGGTATGTAGACTTTATAAATTTTGCAAAGGAACTTTTTGCGTTACCATTGTAGCTAACTGCCTCTCCTGCCACGCACGGACCACGGACGGACCCTCGCTAGCTGTTTACATACACAATACAGTATCTCATAACGTTAACCAATTAATTTTATTTTTGAATCGTCGTGTCCAGATGCAGTGAGACAATATCTGCAGCCTGTCGACAGGCACCTGTTGACACCACGGGGGGCGGGACTGTCTTCTACACCTGTTGAGTCTCACTGTGATGATGAAGAATGTAAGATTTTTTACTGGTTTTTGGAGTGTGATTGCAGCCTTTTTATGAACTTTGTTTCAAGTTTTAAGTACGCATACAATATGAATTTAATATTTGTATATCAGAAGAACGCTAGGTGTGGGTGTGGCAAAATTTCAACTTTGTCCAACACATCGGGCGGGCGGCACACAGACAGACAGTTTGTGGCTCTTTTGGAGGACTCCACACAGCTGTCAGATGGCTCAGCCTGGGGAAAGTGCTGAAGAGGGTTTGGGACTTGAAAACAGAGATTCGAGAGTTTTGCAAGAGGAAAGGCAAAGACATTCCAGAGCTCTCAGATGAGGATTGGATGGCAGATTTTGCATTTGCTGTTGATGTGACTGCACTGATGAATGAACCGAACACCAGACTGCAAGGCAAGGGCCTTTTTGTTCATGAAATGCACAGCCTCGTGAAGGCCTTCATGAGAAAGCTGCAGTTTCTTTCAAGTCAACTGGAGAGCAACACTCTCACTCACATGCAAACCCTGAAGGAAGTCACACCATCAGCTGATCACCTCAGCAGGTACTCATCCATGTTAGGAGCATTACATGGTGAGTTTTCAAGGCGTTTTGAAGATCTCAGAACAATCGAGGATGAAATGCACATGATTTCCTCTCCCTTTACCTGCAGTGTGGATAATGCATCCAGTGATGTGCAGCTGGAACTCATTGACCTGCAGTCTGATGCAGTACTGAAGTCAGGATCTCTGCTGGATTTCTACTCTTCTCTTAAGGAGGAGAACTTTCCAAACCTGAGGAGACATGCTCAGAAGATGTTGGTTCTCTTCGGCTCTACCTACATTTGTGAACAAACATTTTCAGTGATGAAGTTTACAAAATCCAGGTAAAGATCCTCTCTCACTGATGATCATTTGTCAGCTGTGCTTCGCATCTCCACCTCAGACATTCAACCTGACTGATGCACTCGTTAAAGCCCAGCAGAGACTAGATTTCTCTCAATGAATAAGAAAAAAATCGCTTAAAACACGAAATAAGGTGTTTGGACCACAAATGTAGGCAACTAGCAGTGAAATGGGACACTTTTTTGAAACCTCTTTCTCAAGATCACAGTTCAGTGATTTTATTTTACAGACAATACTGTGTGTCTGTAGAATGCTAAGAACCTCTTTCCAACAATATTTGAAACTCAGAATGTGTTTTGGAGTGAATGTGACTGAAACTGTTAACTAATGTAAGTCACAAATGTTTAACAAAATCCAAATGCGCACACTTTGTTTACCATTGCCTTGGGAAATTTGAATAAATCACATTTTTGTAAGCCAACCTCACTTTTTCCTTTTTGCTCATTTATAACATATAGTCTACTCTTACCAGCTTGAAAAAACGATGGTATTTACTGCTTTTTATAAAGAAATACCATTAATATTATGCATAATTGACTTCAGCCTTTTGGCCTGGCCCTCCACAATATTTTCTGTTTCTCATGTGGCCCCGTGGAAAAAATAATTGCCCACCCCTGCTCTAGCTTAAAGTTAAAAATTATTTAGTGTTACTGTAATTTTAAGGCAATGGGTTAAGAGAGAAATCAGATGGGTTTAATAGGAAATCAAACAAATTAATTGGACCATTTTACAAAGGACAAGATGCTTTTTTTAGCGCTCATTCCCCACTTGGAGCAAACAAGCATTTCAAACTCCTGTTAGAATAAAGCAAAAAGTTTAGATTTGTGGAAGTTTAAAGGTTTTGAGGGTATGGATGGTGTGTGTTCAAAAGACTTGATAAAACAAGCATAGTCTAAATATTTCATGGTGCAGTTGCGTGCTCAGAAAGGCGTGCGAGGAAGGTTAGCCATTGCAAAATACAAACTGCAAATTGCAGCAAAGATCAAACCTCATTAAGCAGCTTCAAGTCAGCTGAGAGAATAAGATATAATGAGGCGCAGCAGCTGGTAAAGCAAGAAGTTTGGAAAAAGAGACAAAGCTGCTTTAATGTCTACGCCACCGCTTTAAGATGAATGACGTCCTTGTGAAACAGATTTAATGTGTGAATTTAATCATGGGGCAAATTTGACAGCAGTTAGAAAGTAAACATGCTGCAATCCTTACGCAGTCTTGCAGTTAATTTCCCTGCTACTCAATCACAGGCTTGGCTTTGATGAGCTGGCAGTAACATCAAGCTCCGAGGCCACAGAGAGAGAAGCCATTTACAAAGTGCTGAAGCTTCATCTCCCCGTGAAAAAAGGGAAACCGAAAGCCTCAATTACAGCCCCCCTCCTTCTCAAGCTCGCAGCAGAGACTTGCAAAGAGGACACATCCAGTGGAAAGTTACTTTTAGAGTAAACAAACACAAGGGGGGTGGGGGGGGTGGGGGGGGGGCTCCGATTCGGGGAAACGGATAAACTTCTGTTCAGTCAAAAGCTGAAGAAAATCACTCTAATGAGAGGATGTTGGTAAAGGCACGCCGACGTTTCACAACACAAGTGTATCCATCCTCTCTGGCTTACTGGAGCCGGCAGCTGTGATGGGGGGTGGGGGCTAGCTGACGTTTCAAGACTGCTCGCTCACCCTGGGAATTCTTACGGGCGAAATGAGACGCTGCTGAAATCCACGGAGGACAAAAGTACATTCCACACATTCCCCAGGGACAAGCGACGTCTCACAGGAAATGCCACAAAGCTTCATTTGCGTGAACTTGCAGCAAATATTATCTTAATGTCAATTTATCACATTTCAAACATGCACGACGCCAGAGGGTCAAGAATTCTGACTTGTCTGAGAAACAAAATAAGCCTGCAGATCAGGGGGTCAGAGTGAAAACTACATTTCGTAAATGTATTAAAAGCTGGAGGGCTTAGCAGAGCTGACAGTCTGGTCTGAAATGGGCCAGTTAGACTCGTTAACCTGGGATGTGTTCAAAGCTGCACGTCAAAAACACAGATGCTTCCTGGTGGCAGGAGATACGTTCCTGTATAATCCTCTGGAAGTTTCCTGCACACACGTGATTGATCAGACAGTTTTTTTTGGGGGGGGGGGGGGGCTATGACATATTAAACCAAAATGTACTTGTGCTGTGGCTGAAGCGATATTATGACCTTGAGCAGAGCTAAAATGTGCTGACACAGTTCCAGTGGCATCACTTCCTCTAGTCACAACGAGTTTGAGTGATGCTGCTTTTGTCTGCTCACTCATCCGATGTTAGGGTCCGCTCTGGATTTTAAAGTCAGGATTTCCTCCTGCTGTAGTGGAGATTAGTTCAGAGACAGAGACGTACGAGGGGCCACCAGGGACATCATATGTGAAAAGAAAACCTCTCATACACATGTGAAAGTCTCCAATAGCACATGTGAAAACATCTAATAAACACAAATTGGAAAACATCTAATTAACACACGTGAAAACCACTAACACACGTGAAATGAAAATCTCATACATATGTGAGAAAAAAACTCAAGTGAAAAGAAACCCTCTCATGCACATGTGAAATGAGAATTCTCATAGATCCACATGGAAAAAAATCTCATAAGTGGAAAAAGTCTCATCCCCACAAGCACAAACCATGAGGTTTTTTTATGTTTCTATTAGACGTTTTCACATGTGTGTTTGAGAGGAATTCACATATTTGTATAAGGTTTTTTTTTTGTCAAACATGCACAAGAAGATTTTACGTGTTCATGTCTTACATGAAAGTAATTCACATATGTGTCAGAGATCCATGTGTATACATGTGAAAATTCCCATGTGTGTTAGGGCTGGGCGCTATGGCCTAAAATCAATATCATGATATGTTGAGGATTTCACCTCGATAACGATAAATGGACGATAACTACAGGTATGCGCAGAAACAAAAGTCGTCCACTAGATGGGGCTGTTACATGTATTACTGAGTCCCATTTTTTCGTGACTCAATGTGGTACAGCTTTTAAAGAGACATGAACGTTGCCAACCTACACACCTTCTCATTTTTATTATCAATTTTATTGGCATGGGAAATTTTTTCTCGATAAGAATCAGAAATTTCTATAACGATAAATTCTCGATTTATTGCCCAGCCCTAATGTGTGTATATAAGTTTGTGTATGTGTAAATGTTACATTTGCACATATGTATTTGTCAGGTTTGCACATGTGTGTATGAAACATTTTCACGAGTTTATAGAGGTCATTAATATAACACACCTGGTGGCCCCACACTAAGCCTGACTGATAAAGAAAACTGGAATGAATCCGTTGTGTGCGTTTTTTTTTTTTTTTTTTTTATTTATTTTTGCTGAATGGTTCATTTTTCAATTCATTCGGGCAACTTAGGCATGAACTAACTAAAAAGCAAATGAGAAAAACTAATTGAAAAGCTGGAACTTGATGAGAAAGGGGAAACATCTAATTTTAACTTCTAGGCAATAATTATGCTCATTCTAGACGTTACTTTTGGCTTTTTGGTTGCTAAATGATAGCTTTTCTTGGCTCTGAGGCACAAAACAAGAAATAAATGTTTTCATTTAAAAAAACTGAAACACTCAGCAGTTTTTCTTTGTTTTTACTTGTAACGTTACCTTTGAATTTACAAAACTGTTTTTTGTTTAAAAAGTATTTTGGTAGGTTTCCAGCTGAAGCGTCTGATTAGAAAACCCACATATTTACACATAAAGTTATTCATAGGACTGGTGTTGTAGCTCCACGCAGCAGCAGGTCAGTAAGTCCCAGGCAAACAAACACATGACCGGTGAACACTTATCTGGTCCCACGGGAGAAACACGCTGCCTGTCACCCACAACAGAGGCCCATGTCCCGGACACCAGAGGCCCGCTGCCAGCACCACTCTGGTTCTGATAGTTCTCACTCGGAAGTGAAGTTGTCACAACTTTTTAATCCTTTCTGCTCCACTTTGCGCCAAACACTGACAGCACACCGACTCAACGACGTCAACAAAAACAGCAACACCGTGTTGGGCCGTTGGCTGACCACCCCAACTACCACGGCTCTCTGGAAAACTTCAAACCGAATCCTGGAAATACTCACAAACTCCCGCTGGCGTCTCTTTAATTCAGGTCATGGCTGCAGCTTGATGGACACGTCTGAACTCCGCCGTCAGTCCCGTTTCGGCTCAAAATGGCAGAGCGTAAATCCTGGGAGGGTTTTTCTTTTTTTTTTCCACGGCGGAGCTCTTCCCACTCCCGAGTTTACAGACTGTCCTCCAACGGCACACGGCAGCACAGAACAAAGCGACGGTGCGTTCAAAGCCATGGGACATTTGGTAACGCACCTGTTCAAACAAACTGAAAGTAAGCACAAAAAACAAATCCTGCAACGTTAAAACGATTTAAATGACTGTTTTCTGCAACATGTCATATTTTTTTATCATCTACCGTGCTACTTTAGATTTTTGTCTCTTTCGTGTCAAAATACAATAATTTAGCCAAAAACGTTGTTTTACTGTAACTTTTTTAAGGGAGACTATGCCGTTTTAGCTTGGTTTTAGCATCCCCTCGTGTCCGTTTAGTAGAACCAAAAGCAAAATCTATTTCCTTGCTGTAAGTCTCCTTCCTTTCTGGTCGGCTCATGGGTCCCCGGAAGAATGAAAAAATTAATGCAAGTCAACGGGGCTAAAAGAGCTATTTTCTAATCTGCTTTGCCTTATGCACCGATCACACATATGTTGTACTGCAATTTAAATGAAAAGTAATGATGGGTGTTTTGACCACGCCAGTCACGTTCTCTGAGATTTATTAGCTTGTAAAAGTTTATAATTAGCATTACTACACACACCAGAAATCGGCCTGTATCGCGTCATATCCGTGTCAAAACCCGTGCACGCGCATTGGGTCCACAGCGCGCGTGTGAACGGGACTCGCGAGCGAAAATATACATGGCAGCGCGCGTGTGAACGGGACTCGCGAGCGGAAATATACATGGCGAGAGGTCATTTGTGCACTGAGAGGGAGCAAACTGTGTCTGTGAGCGCACAAGGATGTGCACAAGTGACAAACCTGCGTGCGCGCGTTGTCAACGAGCACACGGCAGAGGAAAACGTGCGCGCGCGGCAGCCTCTGTGCGCGCTCGGCAGCCTCTCTGCGCGCTCGGTTTCTGACTCCTGCTCGCTCGGCTGTAAGGGTTTTGGCACTCTGGAGGCGTGGCCTGTGGCAGATCTCCTCTGTCCTCTGATTGGTTAGTGTACCCCGCACTTTACCCTCTACCTATCTATACAAAAAGTCTACTAGTCAAGTAGTTGCTGGCATAGCTCAGTTGGAAGAGCGGGTGACTCTCGCCCCGGAGGATCCAGGTTCGAGGCCGGGCAAGGAAAATACAGTAGATGTCATGTTAATTTTTCTTAATTTCAGGTATTTTACAGTTGTGACTGTTCAACTGTCATTAAACGTCCGAATGTTTGCTGGGCAGTGTTTTAAAAAGTGCACATAAGCTAGATGGTTTTAACCATATAAAATTACATTTTTTGTGATACTGGAAAAATACATACTGAAATAAAACTACTGATTGAAAACTTTATGACTGTGGTTGTACAATATATGACTCACTAATACACTGCAAACTCCCTTAGAGTGGGGCTTCCAGAGAGAGAGAGAGAGAGAGAGAGAGAGAGAGAGAGACAGAGAGAGAAAAGTTCTTGCCTCATTAATGAATTGTTTATTTTTTTCAGTATTTAATTGACAAATTATCCTTTCAAATAATTAATTGATGAGTTACATAATTGTCCATTTAGAATTGTTGAATGGACTGAGTCAAGTTTGGTGCACTTTATATATTTCAAAACATGCTTTTTTTTTATTTTAATGATGCATATAAATAATTTAAATGTTAATTTAATGAAATATTTCTATTTTTTCATTACCTCACCCTTGTTTTGACAAAAACGGGACCTTGCTGGATAATATCATGGAGAAACTATTTGTTCACAGTACATGGCTCCGTAAGGATCTGTGTACCAAAGGAGGAGATACTCAGAAATCTGTCTGCAGATTGTTACAACTCAGACTGGAAGTGGCGGGCTGTAATAAGAAAGGAGACCAAACAGAGGAGTGGGGGTTCAACAACTGATTTATTTAACAAAAGTAAGGATTTACTAAAGCAAGTTAGTGAACAGAAAATGGCCATCTCAAGGTTTTACTCGGATGTCCCTCAGCAGGGTGCAGCACTGTTGAAGGTCATCTGAATGAAAGCTTGATATGCAGTTTCTTTATGAAAGTGTGTAAATATACAGTGTGGTTGCCGTACATATGTTGAGGTTCTCAGACATCAGGCTTCTTTGCCCAGGCCTTCACTAGTGGGCTATTTTAAAAGTTGGTAAGGAGAAAAACCACAGCATATAGCTGATTGTTTACAAATGCAAGGAGGGGAATAACAATCAAAATCCTAGTGTTCTTGGACCAGATGAATGGAGCGCTCCACATGCACTCAGAGATGTTATGGCTTCTGTTTCTATAACTTTACATGCAGACATTTGAGGTTTGCCAGAAAGGAAAGCTGGCCTGTACACTTTGCAGGGCACAATGTCATCAATGAAGAAACCCCTGTCTACCATGATGACCATCTCTAGTTGTAGCATTTTCAACACACCAGATTCCCAGGTTGGTCGCTGATAGTTCCAGCATACAGTGCTGAGACAAAGGTCACTGGCCTATGGGGCACAATCCAAATGAGCCTCTTCAGAGTGCAGTTGAACTTGAGGAAAATATATGACTCTGGAAGAGAGGGGAATATGGCCATTGACACCTCAGATCAGTGCAGTCAAGAATTACTGGTGTTTGGGTAGTCCTGAACGTGTTGTGATGCCCCCACCATCTCATTGGGTTTTCATTTGTGTTTAATTGTGTTTTTCTTCTGTTGTAGGCAGCTGGTTAAGCAGCCTTGGAGGCACCTGGGCTCAGGGTGTGGTGCTGCCTACAAAGCCTACTGTTTTTCTGCTTTCACTGGGTCTCTCCTGTGTGGTGGAGAGTCCTCACTGGCCATTTTCTGTTCACTAACTTGCTTTAGTAAATCTTTACTTTTGTTAAATAAATCAGTTGTTGAACCCCCACTCCTCTGTTTGGTCTTCTTTCTTATTACAGCCCGCCACTTCCAGTCTGAGTTGTAACAATCTGCAGACAGATTTCTGAGTATCTCCTCCTTTGGTACACAGATCCTTACGGAGCCATGTACTGTGAACAAATAGTTTCTCCATGATATTATCCAGCAAGGTCCCGTTTTTGTCAAAACAAGGGTGAGGTAATGAAAAAATAGAAATATTTCATTAAATTAACATTTAAATTATTTATATGCATCATTAAAATAAAAAAAAAAACATGTTTTGAAATATATAAAGTGCACCAAACTTGACTCAGTCCATTCAACAATTCTAAATGGACAGTTATGTAACTCATCAATTAATTATTTGAAAGGATAATTTGTCAATTAAATACTGAAAAAAATAAACAATTCATTAATGAGGCAAGAACTTTTCTCTCTCTGTCTCTCTCTCTCTCTCTCTCTCTCTCTCTCTCTCTCTCTCTCTCTGGAAGCCCCACTCTAAGGGAGTTTGCAGTGTATTAGTGAGTCATATATTGTACAACCACAGTCATAAAGTTTTCAATCAGTAGTTTTATTTCAGTATGTATTTTTCCAGTATCACAAAAAATGTAATTTTATATGGTTAAAACCATCTAGCTTATGTGCACTTTTTAAAACACTGCCCAGCAAACATTCGGACGTTTAATGACAGTTGAACGGTCACAACTGTAAAATACCTGAAATTAAGAAAAATTAACATGACATCTACTGCATTTTCCTTGCCCGGCCTCGAACCTGGATCCTCCGGGGCGAGAGTCACCCGCTCTTCCAACTGAGCTATGCCAGCAACTACTTGACTAGTAGACTTTTTTATATAGATAGGTAGAGGGTAAAGTGCGGGGTACACTAACCAATCAGAGGACAGAGGAGATCTGCCACAGGCCACGCCTCCAGAGTGCCAAAACCCTTACAGCCAAGCGAGCAGGAGTCAGAAACCGAGCGCGCAGAGAGGCTGCCGAGCGCGCACAGAGGCTGCCGCGCGCGCACGTTTTCCTCTGCCGTGTGCTCGTTGACAACGCGCGCACGCAGGTTTGTCACTTGTGCACATCCTTGTGCGCTCACAGACACAGTTTGCTCCCTCTCAGTGCACAAATGACCTCTCGCCATGTATATTTCCGCTCGCGAGTCCCGTTCACACGCGCGCTGTGGACCCAATGCGCGTGCACGGGTTGTGGCACGCTTTAAACGCCATAGACATGCCGCATGTGACAGCACCACATAATCTTCTCTCGGGCTGCAGTAGTGCAGTGGTTAGAGCTGTTGCCTTGCAGCAAGAAAGTACTGGGTTCTTTCTGCATGGAGTTTGCATGTTCTTTCTGTGCATGCGTGGGTTCTCTCAGGGTACTCCGACTTCTTCCCACAGTCCAAAAACATGACTGTTAGGTTGATTCAGCGCTTTTCCTGACAGGGTTGCGGAAGGCGCTTTATAAATAAAGCTTTGATTGATTGATTGATTGATTGATTGATTGATTGATTGATTGATTGATTGGTCTGCATAAATCGTCCTTAGGTGCGAGTGTGTGTGTGCATGATTGTCCTGTGTGTCTCTGTGTTGCTCTGTGATGGACTGGCACTCTGTCCTAGCCTGGCCAGCCAGACTCCTCCTCTGTTTAATTCTGCACAGAGAAAGGGGCGCACTGACAATACTGCGTTTCCCTGAGTTAATATTGCATTCCCCAGAGATAACTGTGTTCCCTCAAGCTAATATTGCGTTCCCTCAAGATAATATCGCATTCCCCGAGATAATGACCCGCACTTGTATAGTGCCTCTCAGAGTAAGGACTCCAAAGCGCTTTACACTACAGTGTATCAGTCATCCATTGACACGTTCACACACTGATGGTGATGAGCTACAATGTAGCCACAGCTGCCCTGGGGCGCACTTACAATAGTGCGTTTCCCCGAGTTAATATTGCGTTCCCCTGAGATAACTGTGTTCCCCCGAGCTAATACTGCATTTCCCCAAGTTAATATTGCGTTCCCCAGAGATATTATTGTGTTCCCCCGAGAACGTGTCATCATTTTTTTGCATTGGGAAACGTTAGCTAACCGCTTCATACCAAAGTAAGCCAACAATGATATTTTATGTTGCCAGTTTTAGCTAGATAACCTTTAATGAGCTAATTGTGTGCAGCTTGTTGATTGTGAGCGGGAGGGGTTTAGACAAGCTTGACGAGCTGTAAATGGGTTTATTTCAGTTTGTTTGATTTTACGTTTTAAAAATATTCCCCATAGTTTGAAATAGGTTATAAACTTTTTACATTATTAGTTTTATTTGGGATTTTTGTACAATACGTTGCTGGTTGCTGTATCAACACGAACATGCATCAGAAGATGGAGAGACCAATAATAAAGAAAATGTGATTGTGAAGACAAGTAATTATTTAATATTTTTCAGTTAATAACGCTGACTACAACAAACTGCTGAAGCATGAGACAAACAGGATTATGAACGTAAGAAGATATGTTGTTCTGTTTTGTGTACTCAAGTAATAAGAACAGAATTACCATATTTCAAGAACAGTAGTCGAACACAATAACTTAAAAAAATTTGACATTTTCAATAAAACTGCTCATTTCCACTTGCTTTATAATATTAGCATTTGCAATTTTGTTATTAAGGAATGACAAGAAAGAAGAATTAACAATAACATAACTATTAATAAATAAATGTCAAAGAGTTACTAAAACAAAAATCTTATGTAACCATTAAAGGTTAAACTGTGTTGTGTGTCCATCTTCATGTTTTCATAGTGGCTGAGCGGAGAGCTGACCAGAAACAACGGTGGTGGCAAATTCCAGTTGGGTCTGTGATGGAGTGATGCACGCCTGGAGTGATTGCTATCTCATCCACAGTAAGCACACACTCTCTTTCCATCTCTGTCAGATTTTTAACCTTCAAACTGAGCATGTCAGAAACCTCTCCTAACACACCTGGTTCCAGTTTAGCGGGCTGCATTTGTCTTTGCAGGGTTCTCACATCAGGCAGAGGGATACTCATGTCCTGAAGAAACCTGCAGCCTGTTGAAGCCACTGAAACACGGAGTTGTACGGCCTTTTTGATTGTCTGTTTACTCCATTTAATGCCTCTTGTGTTTTTCGTGCCAATTGCCTTCAATTCATCTTTAGTAAAAATATTGCCTATTTTTTTCCATGTTGTAAACTTTCTTTCGCTGGACTGAATGAATTTTTGTCCGTGTTTTAAGTGCTCCTTCCAATAACGTGTTCTGTTTGACTTTCTATTTGCTCCCTTAGGTTTTCCAGCTGGGTTCCCTGGTTGCAGAGCCTGTTCCTTTCTCCTCCTGGCCCTGACGCCGGCTCCTCATGACTTCCTGATGTCCCTCTCTCCTGATACCATCTCATGTCCCCCCTCACTTTCCCTCATCTCATTTGCCTCACTGCTGCTGCTGCTTTCTAGCCTGGCAAGCCAGACTAAATAAATGTATTATTTAACTTACTTGCTTTACTTAACTTTGCAAAGCAAGAATTTGGTCTAGTTCACTAGGCTGCTTTCCTCATTCTCTGAAATTATAATGGCACTGTTAGAATAATGAATAATTTTTAAATAAAATCAATACAAATGTCTAATATTTCAAAAGATTCGTACCACAGTTTACTTGAGTACAACATGTGTGGTACCAGACTCTTTCTCTGTGCAGAATTAAACAGGACGAGTCTGGCAGGCCAGGCCAACTATGTCCCAGGGTGTATCCCGCCTGAGATTGTCCGTTGACCGCTGGAGATAGGCACCAGCCAGCCACCCCCCCCCCCCCCTGCGACCCTACGAGGACAAGCGGGTTCAGAAAATGGATGGATGGGTGGATAATCTCCTCTCCCCTAACGTAGCTGCTACTTACCAAATGGCCAGATTTATGGTGGTTCTTTCCTCCTGTGGGAAGTTTGCTGAACTTCTAGCCCTTTTCCCTCAGTTTTCTCTATGTCTGGTTTGATGACGTCCCTTTCGTGAAGCACATTTGTAGTCCTGGAGTTATTTTCACACAAAACCTAAAATAGCATTTCCCCATGTTTGAAAATAAGCACGCTCTTGGTATCAAATTGTTTCTTTAAAATTCACGGACATCATGTGTGAAATCCATGGCACAAAACAAGAGGAATTAGAAAATAGTGACTTGCCTTCATTTTTTCGTTCTTCCGGGGACCCATGATGTGGAAGTGACTTAAGCTCCCAATTAAGACAATTAACGCCAAAATAAGGTCTCTTTTTCAGATTGCAATGGTTTCTGTACCACCAGCTGTGTCCTATTGGTCCAATTTTGTAACAGAGATTGATTGGGAAAAAGTTTGGTCACTAACACAAAAGTAGGTACTTGCTAACAAACAAGGTAAAAGAAATTTCCTTTAAATTGATTCACAGATTCTACCCTGCCAGACAGTTTCTGTCCAAATCCTTAGCAGATATTAATGTTCAATGCTCTTTCTGTCAAGAGCGACCGGAAACAGTTTGTCATATGTTTTGGTTTTGTAAATTTACCTATAAAGTATTTTGACTTTGGAGAAAAAAAATGTCAGAACTCTGAGAAAAAAAAAATGAGATTAAAAGTTGAATGTGGAAAATTTCATAAATAGCCAAATAAACAAAATACTTCCACGGGGCGTTTAGAGTTGTGCAGAATGAATGTATAGTATTTCATTTTAATTAAAAAATAATCAAATATTTAGAGGCACGACACTGGGTTTATGTTTACATCTACCAGCCGTTAGAGAGCACTATTGTGGGTTGCCAAACAAGGTGCTGCAATGCATATTTTGTGTTGGTATTAAAAAAATCAATAGTTAAAAAAGACAGTACATGGTTGATGCGTAGTATTTGTCTCTAATGTTTGACATTTCCAGATATTAATCTTGAATTTCTTGTCAATTTTATTGTTCAAATATAAAATTTAAATGAGTAAGCCTATTTAACAAATCCAACATGTCCACACCATTTGCTTATTTGCCAAAGATTTTTCTTTAAATCATCATTTTGAGCATTACATAGCTCAAACATCATCTCCACCTCCAAGTGTCGAATATATTCTAAAATTAAGACAGAGGCCTGTATTTCTTACTGCTTGTATAATTTAGATCATAAAACCCTAAATGTGTTGGTTTTCAGCAATTCTCTGCACAATAAGTGGCACTTATTAATACCTAAGCATCTTTGACCACAGGAGCTGTGAACTGAGAGTGCTTCAAAACATAAAATATTTAACAGGCTTTCTCCTTTCTAAACCAGTGACGCCATGAAAGGCCGATCCTCCAGCTCATCTCCCAGTGGTCCGGGTGTGTTACACACAGCTTTTGTTTCTTAATTACAGACCGTTTACAGAGACACGTAATGTCGGGTCGGACAAACCATTAAGCAAGGCTACATGCGTCTTAAATCATGAGCAAGGTCTTTATTCGGTTTCACATATGTGCTTTAAACAGGTTTTTTTCCAGTTTAGAAATGGTCGAGTCTTGGCAAATAAGAGGTCTGAATGAAGTTTGGGAGAACTGCTGAAGTTTTCTAGCATTCATCTCGTGTTGGTACATGATAAGAGCTGGCTCTGACACACACACACACCTTTCCATCTGCTATGACTCATGGTATAAGTCAATGCAATCAGTAAAGTTAGCAGTTTACTATGGAAAAAAAACTATTTTACATTCATCGTATATATTAAAAAATCTGGGTAAATAAAGATTTGTAACTTCTGAATAAATTTATATTTTTGCACATATAAATTTCAAATACATCATAATTTTAAATGAGTGTCTAATTCACAATGACCACTTTTTTTTATTCAACATCTCGTGAGTTTATGAAGCCGAGTGTGCATCCATGTTTCCTTTGGTGGTTAAAAGAAAAAAATTAAACTGTTACAGAGCAAGTTTTCTGACACAGACTGACAATTTTCACAAGCTTCAACTTGTCCACCTTTAACTCGTGAAAGTATACACAGCTAATCAGTGCTGAAAGGTCGGCGTTCTTTTTTCCCCTTCCCATCAGTAAAGATTCAAGTGTTCCTTTGTTGGATTTTCAGTAAGATTTCAAAGACTTTTTTTTTTACACCAAACCCAGAAATAATCTCTAGTTGGATGAATATTTAACTGCAAAATGGAATCTGAGTCATTAATGCTCACAAACAAGGTGTGAACGGCGTTTCTTTCACACTTTGACAGATGACACATTAACGGGGTTTTGGGCTTCGAGTCTCGTCTCCAGTTTACTTCATCTTCACGTGGAGTTCAGAAACCAGCGTTAGCTAATGATGTTTTAACAGGTGATGCGGCGAGTCAAATCAAATATCCGAGCTTCTGAAGAGTTTGTTTGCCGTGTGATTGCTCGACAGCAGAGGAATCTGAGGCTCCAGAAGTTGTCCTGTAGTGGAGGCAGTGAAGGCATCACGATGCTGCTGAGAGGCTCCGCAGCACTGATGTTTCCCCGGAGAGTCCGGACTTCCGGGGTAGCGTTAACGGCCCTTGTTCTTTTTGGCATTTGCCTGAACAAATATAGAAAAATAAATAAATAAAAATTTAGATAATAGAAAAAGTTTTGTGATAGATTCAGGTACCGTTGGTTAAGACAAGCTCAGATTTGTGTATTTCGTTCAAATTCTAAAGACATGCAGAGGCTAGCCGGTGGACTTCATGAGAAAATAGCCACCAGGAGAGCGTGAGCGTGTTTTGGCCTGTGGCTTCCTGACACACAGCCGTGTGTGCATGCACAAGCAGCAACATGCACGCATACAAGCAAGCTTCCCCTCTACTTCTGCTTAATGACTTTGGCAGATGGCTGCAAGCAGGTGCTTTTTACATAAAATACAGGCAAGAAGCACGGCGCCACCGATGACCTCCTGGTTCACCTCGTAACAGAGGAAAACTTCCCAAAGTCACATGATCTGGTCCTCTTTTCTGACAGAAATGAATAAAAATGTATATTTCTCATCATCATAAATGCTTGGAGTACCTTGCCACCCAGTTTGAGGGTGTCGATTTCCTCCCTCTGCTTGCTCAAAGTCTCATTCATGCTACACAGATGGTCGCTCATCATGCTAAGCTGGTCTTCGTAGCTCCTCTTAGTGGTGGTGAGCTCGTCCTGCATAAGAGACAATTAGATAAACGTCTCCCTGCTTAGAGAAATAACAGAAAATACTCAGCCAAAGGAGCTTCTTTGCATTTTCACCTGCAAGCGTGTGATGTTCTGATTAGCCAGTTTGACCTCTTCGCTTAGCGTCTCCCGTGCTTTCTCCGCGATGGTTAATCTCTTTGCCAAAGCTCGACACTAAAGAGGAGGAAAAAGTAAACAACTGCTGTGCCCCGGCAGCTCTGAAGTAAATACAGCTAGATGAAACACTCGGGTAAGCAGACGTTTCTATAAGAGGCCTGAATGTTTGAAACTAAAAAGCAACAACAGATCAAGGACGCTGCCATTTCTAGCACACAAGAATGAAAGGAACTGATGCACCAGGGCAAAAAGGAGCCATGGTCTGATCACATCTTTACATCGCAATTTACAAAGAGCGTTAAGTGGTGTACGTGGGGTGGAACTGGGAGTAGGACAGGCTTCGACTGAGAGAAAGTCGTGGAAAGTACCGGTACCACTGGTACGCTGGAAAAAACGGACTGGTGAGCTGAGACGTACAGTTTCAAAAAGCCGGCCCACTTAAAAGCACCGATATTACGAAATGTGATCAAAAGTCGCCCCACTTCTCACAGCATGCAGCTGTAATGAGCGACGAGCGTTCCCGTGAAAGACGGGAACTTTGCTACTCAGACAGGTTTGCTCTTTTCTGCAGAACACCTGTAGCGCTGCGCCCGTTAAGTTGTGCTGAGAAGGCCGCTCATACCGCGGCTCCAGGAGACTGAAACCCGACGTCTGCAACCACACACCGTTATCCAGGGTGATGAAAACACAGCCATCTTGGCTGTGACCTTTTAGCTGTCCATCGGCAACTTCTACTCCTTTTTTAGTTTATCTGTCAGCGTCCGCCGACTTCGCGTTTCCGTCTGAGCTCCAGGGTGTTGGTTTTTAAGGTGTCGGAGTAAGACCAGGTGGAGACGCGTGATTCGCTGTGGTGACTCATGAAGGGAAAAGCCAAATGAGAAGGATGAAGTTTGTTCTTAAGGTGGCGCAACGTATTCGTAGAGCTTATTGTCAGTTTAAAAAACGTTCAAACTGCAGACATTTTCTTTCTCCTGAGGTGACATGTTAGCTCGGCATTAGCCCGCTAGCTAGCAGATAGGCGTTATAGTGTCTGAATTCCCCACCTGCAGTACATTGTGTGACGGTACGTTGTTGCTGTCATCCATGTAGAAATAAATATTAATGTAGTAGAACTAGCTAAAATAAATAAAAGCATTATTATATTTGAAAATCTCTATTTCAGGATGAATTTAAAAGGACAGGTTTGCCGTTTTATAAGATTAAATCAGATGTTTTACGTCAGATTCAGGATTGTTTAAATGTCACGTGATCGAACTCGATTTTTAATCACATGATTGGATCGGAGTTTCCAAAAAAAAAAAAAAACCTGTACACACTCCTGTCAGCTCCCAGAAAAATAATCTACCCACAAACGGGTTTGTATAGATTTCTGAAACTTGACTGAGAAACAAAAGGAAGCATCCGAGTTCTCACACACGGCTTCTGAAAAATATCACCGTGCAAAAAAACAAGCTGAAGCAACAGCGAGCGTACGAGCAGCTTCTGTATCTCTTCACAGATGGAATGCGATGTTAGCGGCAGTGTGGGACGAAAAGGTCAGCCGTTCTCCACGAGAAGCCGTCTACCGAGATAGACATGCAAGCAGATGCTTCACCTCAGAGTGGAAGTGCACAGCTTTGCTGTCGGAAATCTGGAGCTGGGTGGTGAGCTCTCCTACTCGTGCCATATAGTGAGTCTTTATCAGCTGCTCTCGAGACTCCTCGTCTCCCACCTGCAGCACAGACACAACATCAGCAGCAGGTCGAGCAGAAGAACCACTTCAGGGTTATCCCCCCCCCCAGACTTATGCATATTTTCCCCACAGAAGGGCTCTCACGGTGACTCACGTGTTCATTTGTAGGTGTTGTGCACAACATGCCGACCTGGTGTCAAAACAGATAATTAAGTTAGGTTTTAATCATCAGTGAGGAGGAAAAAATCTCATCTGCTTCAAACACAAACAGGCCTCTGAGAGGAGGGACGAGACATCCCGGAGATGGGAGACAGAGCTGAAAGCTCTGGGTGAGACTCCACTCTGATCTCTGCTGGGACTCAGACTAAAAAAAAAAGGAGGGATTTTCTGTTCTGCTACATCAGCAGATATAAAGTGGGAGGTTCATTAAGCACAAACTTGCTCAGCGTGGGAGCTAAAGGAAGAGAGGGATAACACCCTGTCTCTTTGTTGGAGCCAATCACAGAAGTGCTGCAGGTGGAAACAAACAACAGCTTTCACGGCGACGGTACCAGGCTGGTGCAGAGAGTCGCTTCTTTCCCTGTGGCGTTCTGCTCCATCTCCACCTCCTCGTGGGTCTGCGTAAGCCGGCTGGCCGGGGCCGTTTGGGGGTTCGGGCTTCCTCCCAGGGCCGCAGCAAGCTGCGCTTCCAGATCCACGATCCGCTGGTTCTCCTTTTCCAACCGCACCTTTCCCAGCTGAGCCTCCAGGAGCCAGTGCTCCTTCTCCTGCTCCAGGCGAGCGATCTTCTCCTGACTCTGCTGCACCTGCAGGAAGGGGAGAGAAGAACGCGCATGAGCTTGTCGCTGAGCAGAGGTTAGGAGGAGCGAAAGGGCAGCAGAATTTAGGACGAAATCTGATGAGATGCTGAAGACGAAGCAAGCTCAAACTTCCAGATTCTTCACACCCCGTCCCCAAAGACTCACCAAATCCTCCAAATCACATGATGAAGTTGCACAAGTGTAAGAATTTCTGTTTCATAGCCAACTTTCCCACAAATCTCACTTCCTCAGCTGCTTTCAGTCTTCTTTCAATTCAAATTAAACCAAAAACATAAATATACATCCAAGTGGAACCGTTCATGACTTCACCCTCCTCCCATTCAAACAGCATTCAGGGCTGACTCATTCTAAATGACACCGTCTACATGGGTTAGCGGTCTTATCTCGGGGCAGCCTCTTCAGTAAACAACTATTAAAGTCCTCTAAAGGCTTTTTAGAAGGGCTGTGTGTGTAATTTACCTGCTGAGAGAGCCCTTCTCTGCTTTCGGTGGAGCTGGTGAGAATACGGCGGTTTGCCAGGGCTTCTCTGTAGGGAACAGACTGTGGCCGGACCTAAAAGTCCAATAAAGCAAGAAAAATAAACTCTGAATCAAATGAAGTACAAATGTTGAGAATTAAAGCTTTCAATATGTGGTTAAGATAGAAAAAAAGCACTAAAGATATCAAAAATTCAAATCAAACAAACAAAAGATCAACTGAAAGAAATAATTTCTTTAAAATATTTTGTTTTTAGAAGAAAAACTATTAAAATGTTGTAATCCTGGTCATTTTAAAGGTAAACATCTCTTTAAATATAGCAGCTTTAAGCACCAATTCGGAACAAAAAAAGTTGGAATTTGGAGTGGAGTTGACCCCTGACCTTTTTAACGGCATGAATATAGGCAGCAGCTTTCTGCTTGTTGGCCAGCATCGCCTCTGCCTGCAGAGGATTGAGGGTCAGCGAGCTCCCTCTGGGGCTGTAGGCCGGCGATGTGAAGAAGTCCAAGTTGTTGCTGAAGAAAGTGGCGATCTGTGGCGAACGGTTGTGATGTCATAGCGCAGAAAAGATCAAACAAAAACGTGGGACACTGACTCAGACACTCAAAGTCAAGTTTAAATGGAGTCTTCTGAGTGTAAAAGTTCATGTTAAAAAGCTCGTTCACAGTGAAGCAGCAAGGCGGTTGGATAAAAGCAAACACAAACCTGACTGCTGCCTGCCCCCTGGTGGTCATACCTTGCCAGTTACGCTGGTCAGTGATCCCAGAGATCCCAGGAGGCACTCTGAGGTGGTGCAGAGCTTCTGGGTGACGGTGGGGAGCTCCCGCTCAATCCCAGCCTTCTGGTTATAATGTTTTGACATCTCTAAACACAAAACAGCAAACATGATTAGTTTCACCAGGTAAACCTGGAGAAGTGATAAAAATGTCTTCCCCGTCATCTTTTAATGTCAAAACCAACGTCTTTTATGTCACTTACGCTCTCATATACAAATATTGGGTTGCAAATTTTCTGCATCATCTCCGATGAAGGCTTCTAAAGTCTCGTCATTAAAGGTGTAGCTGGAGCTTTTTTATTTATTTTTTTGCCAAATTGCTCGAAATGCTCACACCGATTACAAGCAACACATTCACGGTTTTAGCAAAAAATACATTAAATCAAAAAGAAGAATTTGCTGGAGATGATGGAAGGGTTAAAATGATTTTTTTACCACTTTATGCACTTGACTGACCAGTTTAAGTTGGATTTCATTTAGGTTGAAGATGAAAGGCATTACTAGATGATTTTGAGTTTAATTTTTGCACGAGATAAATGGATTAGAACAACTCTGGAGTTCAAAAGAAAACCACCTGCAGCAACCCACGGCCTTTTGTTGGAAATGTTTAGTTTTTGGAGGTTGAGAGGCCACGACAGCGTGTGTGTGTGGAGGAGAGAGGAGAGTCTGAGAAGATTTGGGTCGAGTTCTGGACGTTGTGACCTGTTGTCCGTGGGCTTTTCCAGATTATCAGTGACCCTGAGCTGCTGTGACTTTAAACTCAAGAATAAACCAAGAAATCTAAAAACTGCCTAGTTTTTTTTTATTTATTTTTTTACCATAAAACACAAAACTATACTAGCTGGCATGCTGAATAGTTACACGGTTACATAGGTTCTTTACATCGGGAATCATGGCAGAAAAGGTGCCAACAACAAGGGAAACAAGCATCCGACATTCCTGTAAACTGGAGGTGTGGCTTGGGTGGGGTGGAGCTAAAGAAAGGGGGCGGATCTTTGCATTTTATAGACCCTTTTACTACCTACATCATCAAAAGTTGCGTGCGCAGCCTGGCAACGAGAGTGAAGGCTTCCTCATTCACACTCGATACTAAAACAGCGTTTTAAACCCTTTGTTTTGAAGTTCTGAGCACATAAAAATGTCGGGTTGTTGCGTGTATGGATGCCAGAATCGCTTCTCTTCAAGCAGTGGACTGAAACTTTACAGAATTCCGAAGGGAGCACATCCATTTCAACAAAATCGGAGGCGTCTGTGGCTGCAGGCCATCAAAAGGGTTGATGAAAACTGGACTGAAAACACGATCCGAAATGCTCGAGTTTGTAGCGCCCATTTTATATCAGGTAAGGTAATTATGTACTAAGATTACACCAGAAAGCTGGTTAACGTGTGTTCTATTAAATAAAGTAAGTTGTGTTTGCTGGTTTGCTTTTAAGCAGGCTATTTATTTTATGCCTTCAAGACGCAAAACTCAGCGTCTATGTCGTGATATTTTACTTTCTGTACGTGGCCACAGACAACATAGTTGTATGCATCTAACGATTTGTATGCCCGTAGCTTCTCACGTGTGTACTACTTACTGGGCCTCTCCACTAAAAACGTATATATCAGGGTATATGCAGGTTTAAGGGAGCCAAATTTAAGACTTTTAAAGACCTTTTTTAAGGCCACTTAGACCAAATTTAAGCTATTTTTATAATTAAATTTAAGCTTTATTTTCCAGCTATTGCCTGGAACTGGTGCTAACCGCGTCACAAACATGGGATTAGCCATCCAGTTACCATCGAACTTGCACTTCCCCATGGCGCAAGCTCCCACTAGTTTAACCAGCTAATGTGCTCATCTAAAAATAGCCCCCTTTCACAAGCAACTGAATGTGTACGGTTCCGCTTACGCCAACATCGTACACAAAAAATGCTGAAGACTAACTAGAAATTCATGAAAATTTCATAGAAATAAAATAATCTTGTTTATTAGGTCTTTGAAAATTTAAGACCTTTGGAAACTGTATTTAAGGATTATTTGTCATTTTTAAGGATTTTTAAGGCCTTAAATTTGGAAAAGCTAATTTAAGACTTTTGAAGACTTTTTAAGGACCCGCGGATACCCTGTATATATCGGGCCACCGGATATCTGGCCACGCACCTACATCTTCCACCCATTCCGTAATGCCACAGGGATCCGGGAGTCTGTTGCCATTCGTTAAAGTGAGTTTAATAATATAACATTCAAGATTTGCCGGTGATAACCCCGCAGCGTAGCTTGTTAAAGCCTGACACAACGCCATTCTCTGTTGCCAAGCTGCGCGCGCATTCTCGCTGACGTCATATTGTTTACAAACAGTAAAAGGGTCTATATTTTCAAAAAAGCATCTTGCTTAAATGGCAAGAAAAGCATCTATTGCTCCTTTAAGAGAAAAATAGAGATAATTGAGCAGAAAATGAAGAATGTGTGAGGTGTCGCAGTCACTAAACAACAGATGCCAGACACGTTGAAAGGCAGACTGGTGTTTTACATGTACAGAAAAAAAAGACAGATTTTAGTGAATGACTCCGTATCACAGATGGCCGACAATGCTGCTCACCTTTAACAGCATCATGAAGACTGAGCAGGCAGGCTGCCAGCTGGGTGAAGACAGCGGAGGTGCTGCTCTGTGGCATGGCGTCCTGCTGAACACCTGAGACACACGGCACTCTTTAGTAAAACAAGAATATTGTGTCACGGCTTCGTGACGCCAATTTATGAGCCTAAAATCAAAGATTCCCTCTTGTTGCTTAAAGGAGGCGGCTTTTGTTTTTATAGTGATAAAAGACTGGAGAAGCGTTTTAGTGCTTGAACCTACTGGGTAAGGCCAAAAGGTTAATGTAGCTCTGCAGCTTCTCAAAAGCAGACGTGACTTTCTTCACATCGCTCTGCAGCTCTTGGTTTTTTGCGGTCAGAGCAGCTGTGCAAAGAGGTGCCTCGCACTCTTCTTCCAGACTGAAAACAGCAGAGATGATAGCCGTCAGTACATCCTCCTCCACTCCCTCGCTCTCTAAAACACAGCGCTGACCTCTTCAACTGGTAGGGAAGGATCTTTAGCAGAAAGTGGGTGTATGAGGCAAAATTGTCAGCAAACGCCTTCAGTGTGACCACGGTCTCCTTCAGTGTAACAAAGACAATACGATTTAAAGTTTCTTTAAAAAAATTAAAAAAAATAAACTTTAAAAGAACCCCCCCGTCCAAAACTGACCAGGATTGTAACGGTGTCTTCTGTGATGCTTTGGTAAAACTGTAGGAAGCTGTCCTCCAGGGGGCGCACATAAGCAGCGTTTTCATGTAGATACTGAGAAAACTTGAGAAAGAAACCAGCACGAACCAGTAAGAGGAGACAGAGTTGGTTTGTGTGTGTGTTTTCGGCACACCGACCTTCTGGTTCAGAGGGGAGACGGGCTCGATGGAGGAGTCCAGCGGATAGATGTGGACCCTCTGCTCGGTGTAGGTGTGGAAGTTGAGCAGAGCAGCCACCAGGTCCTGGATGAAGCTCAGTGCCTGGCCGGTGACGTCCCTGGCCTTCAGCTGAACTCAAACAAACAAACAAACAAACAAACAAACAAACACACACACACACACACACACACACACACACACACACACAGCTGACTGTCAGTTTGCGATGATAAAAGCGCTGTGTGAATTATTGAAATGAAAACCTACATACTAAAACTATTTATTTTCTCCCTCACCTGATGCCTCCGATTATGCGACGGCACATTTAGGCTGTTGTACTCGTTGAATTCTGCAAGGTGTGAGAAGGAAAGAGCAGGTGAATCAGTTACAAGTCATGTAACAGATCGCCATCTGCTCAGAGGCAGTTGCTCACTGGTGTCATTGAAGGGCACTTTCTCCTGGATCACACTGCTGCTTTGTTTCAGCTGTCTGCTCAGCTCCGACTGGCACCGCCTCAGCTGCTGCTGACTGCACACACACACACACACACACACACACACACACACACACACACACCACACACACACACACACACACACACACACACACACACACACACACACACACACACACACACACACACACACACACACACACCAGTAAGATGCTTGGTGTCATCTATTTGGATACAATTGGTGTGAATTTTAAAAAAACAACACACCACTCATCTGTTCGGATTCGACATTCCTTCGCATCCCTTTCCAGAGTTTGGCCTTTCACCTTTCAAACCATATTAATATGCAACATTAGACTTTATTAAAACTGACACTTTCATAAAAACACCCGATGGGTCTCACCTCCAGGCGCGCCTTGTCGCTCTGCAGCCGATCGATTGTTTCCACATACTTTGTGGTGAGACTGTGAACGATAGCCCGATGCTGCTCGGCGTCTTTTTCCAGCTCCTCCAGTCGAGCTCTCAGCTCCGTCTCCCTCTTCTTGTGCTGCTCATCTGCTTCGTAGAACTAAACCATAAAAGGATTGTTGCATTAGGAGCTTCACGGCAACTTTAAATACAGGAAACAAAGACAATGAGAGGTGACTACTTTTATATGAAGCCGTTCATTTTCTTCTATTTTTTTCTGCAGATCCTCATTAAAAACACTCTGTGTCTGCAGGCCGTACTGTGAGGGAGGGTCTCCTTTATTCTGGAAGAAGGAAAATAATATTTTGATACTATTATTTAGCTTGTGATTATTTGAAGTTGAAAATTTCATCGTTTAGGTTGTAGCCTATTCAGATTATAAAGTAAATATCCGTTTTCTCAGCCCAACACTCTCGTCCCCCCCCAACCCCCCCCATGATCACCTTCCCCTTTTTGCCCTTGGCTTCACAAGCAGCCAGCTCCTCTTGCAGCAGCTCCACCCTCTTGGCAAGCTGCTGGTTCCTGAAGCTGAGGCTGTCCATCTCCTGTTCCTGCTTTCGCAGACTCTGGTCCCTCTGCTTCAGCTGGTCCTGATATGACAAAAGAAAAGTGAAAACCGGTCGTTTTCAACTTTTTGATGCAGTTATTGATTTGCAAATTCGGAATCACAATATATAACTTACTTTTAAAGATGCAGAGTTGCCCTGCTCATCTACAACTGCCTTCTTCAGCACCTGGTTCTGGGCACGGAGCTTTGAAAATAGAGGAAAACACAAACATGTTTGTTGATACAATCTTTATTGCAAAAACAAACAATTTACAGCATGTGACAATAGGCTGAAACAATAAGTTGTTCATTCATATGTATATCCTACTCTATACTAATTCTTTGCCCATTTTTCTATTAACGTGTATACATATACTGCTCAGTGGTTTTTTAAAAAGTGGAATAAAAGCAGTCAGTGACAGTCAGCAGCACTTCCTGAGGAAGAAAAAGTGCTTAGGCTAATGGAGAGATCAGAGCTGAACAGGAAACAGCAATCCACGTGATGTCAGCTGACACAGAAACAAAAGAGTACTCCACAGAAAACACTGGCAGACTTTACTGCAACCAGATCACAAATACATAACCACCCGGGGTGTTAACAGCTAAACAAAACAGCTAAACATTTGAGTTGGTTCAGATGTCAAATGAGGCGTGCAAAGCAGAGAAGACTAATCTGTTGCTACGAAGTTATCCTTGTTTTATAAGCTACACGTCACCTATTCTACCTGTATGATGCACCATAAACCCTTAGTGGATCTTTTCAGACAGAAGCCAGTTTATTCTGTCCACCCCAATGCACTTCGGTATTTGACACTGTACAACCTAACAGATTTGTACAATATGCACGCAGATTGTCTGGTGAGCCGGTTTCTTCCTTCACAATTCATGGTCCATAGCACCATCAAAATGCAAATCAGAACATTTACTCTAACATTTTGAATATTTGTCACAGATAAGACACAAACCACATAATATTGGCAGTGGCTACACATCAAATATTAGGATTTTTACCTTCGAGTACTCCTGTGCCAGCTTGCTGTATTTTGTTTGCAGGTCTGTAACATTAGCCATGGTCGCTAAATCCGCTTGTAAACAGTAGACGCTAAAAGCTGTCTGAGCAAGCCAAATTAGCTGATTTACCGCAGACTGAGTGTTTCTTTAACTACCCAGAAGCCACGATATAAAACATTTTGATAGATAACAATGGTCAGGACTCCCAGATAGCAGTCATGATGATTATTACTAGATTCACGTTACGATTTCATTTCTACACCAGCCTAACGTTTCAGGTTAGCAAGTTAGCAGCTAACCAGCTATGTAGCAACACAAATCCCGACACCGACCGAGACCTAATTTAAAATCAGCAGCGTCCGGAAATGATGTATAACAAATATTGTAGCTGTTGAGCAACTGAACCAGTTTATATCCAATTTGTTTGTCTCGTTTTCCAGCTAACCAGTAAATCTTCTTAAATGAGAACCGAAGAGAGGCAGCGGAACCAATGTCAGAGTTCAGCCAACAGGTAAGCTGTCGTTACCACGGCGCCCCTAGCGGTCAGGAATACAACAACTTCGTCACAACATGACAAACGTCATGGACCATACAGACAAAAGCAACACATCTCTTTGTTTTAATTTATTAAAATGTTATAAATATGTGTACTAAATTTACATATTAATTAGTCTGCTGTTGCAGTCTTGTTTAGGAGGATTTTGTGGAGAAAAAAAGAAAATTTCAAGGTGAAATCAAGGTTTCACTTGTGACTGGAAAGGAATAGCTTGGCCTTAATTACTGTTATCTAAAAATGAAAACAAGGTTGAAATATTGTGTATGTTGCCTTATCTTGTGTTACAAGGACAAAGTCCTCCATGTGACCTTTAAAAGCAAACAGCAGCAACGAAATGTGCACCTTTCTTTATTGTTGTTGTTTTTCAATAAAAACTTTAATTTAGATAATAAAATTGCAAACTTATCATAGTTTAATTTCTTTGGATTATGATGCAATTTTTTTTAAACATTTTTAAGTGTTTATAATCTTTACAAAAATATATTTTTGTAGTTTTAGCCATTTTTCTAAAGATAATAATTTATTGGTTTAAAAAAACAATTTTAATGATATTTAAAACTGCTAATTATGACAATTATTTGCTACTCTGTTTTTTATTTGTTTTTGTCGTGAAACAAAAATAAGGTCAAAAATCACAAGCGAGCAGTTGTCCTGTGGAGGTTAGTCTGTGCTTGTCCTTTTAAAACACTCATGACCCCATTTAAACCAGAAGTGAAATGACATGTGGCTAATGCACCCATCACAGCACAAATCCTATGTGATTAATTTGATCTAATCCATACTAATCTCTTTAGGTTTTCACCACATAGTGTAACAGTTTCCTTATTCCCTTTGCTGCAGACTCGCTGCTCCTGATCTTAAATGTATACAGGCAAAACACAAACTCTCTCACACTGCATCCAGCGGCTCCAGCATTGTCTGGTTGCTTGGTAACAACTGTCGGCGTGGCGTGGTTGCTAGGGTCGTGTGGGAGGGGAGGAGGGGGGATTGATTCTGCTCTGATTTTCAGCTGAATTGAGGCAGTCAGTAGGGAAAAGCCCCCTCTTCTCCATCTCCTTCTCTAGCAGTCAACACACACAGGACTCTATTGAACAATAGAGCCGTGCCAGAAGGGCCTGATGCTAGTCAGACAGGCCCTTGTTTGGGGTCACACACTGTGTTCATCCCACAGTCCTCCATGACTAATTAACTTACAGCAAAGAGTGCCGTTAACACGTTTGATGCTGCATCCATCACAGGCTCAGCCCAAGAATTTACAACGAGGTGAGGTGCGTCTCTGGCAGTCGGCCATGCTCGTGCACTCCAAACACATGCTGGAGAAAAGGGAAAGTGAGGCGGAGCTGCCACGCGTGGTGCTGAGTGCAGCCCATTCAGTCAAAACAGAGCTGAACTGCTGGGAAGGATGGGAAATATCTGACAGCTGTAACATAAATATGTGAAAACCCAGATTATTTACAGCGAGAATGCAGATCTTGTAATCTTCCCAGCAGATTGGTGATGTGATACTTTGTTGGTTGAACTTTTAAAGGAAACATAAACAAAACTCACTTTTGCATCCTTTTGTGCTGCCATCTCTACTGCCTCTATCAACACTCCAAACGTGAAAAACCCAGCCATCCATTTTATGTCAGTGTTTGGTTTTATGAATCCATCCATCCATTCATCCATTTTCAGCCACCTATCCGGGGTCGGGTTGCGGAGGCAGTGGCCTAAGCATGTAGGCCCAGACGTCCCTCTCCCCAGCCACTTGGGCCAGCTTCTCCGGGGGAACCCTAAGGTGTTCCCTGGCCAGTGAGAGACAGTCCCTCCAGTGTGTCCTGGGTCTTCTTTTAGGTCTTCTCCCAGTTGAACGTGCCCAGAAAACCTCACCAGGGAGGGGTCCAGGAGCCACCTCAACTGGCTTGTCTTGATGTGGAGGTGCAGCAGGTCGAGGAGCCCCTCCCGGATGACCGAGCTTCTCACCCTATCTCTAAGGGAGAGCTCAGCCACCCTACAGAAATAACTAATTTTGGCCGCTTGTATCCATGATCTCATTCTTTCGGTCACTACCCAAAGCTCGTGACCATAGGTGAGAGTTGGAACATAGATCGACCAGTAGATGGAGAGCCTTGCCTTCCAGCTCAGCTCTCTCTTCACCGCAACAGACCGGTACAACGCCCGCATCACTGCAGACACATCACCGATCTGCCTGGTTTTATGAATTATATGTCTAAAAACAAGCCGTTTCCAAAAGTCCCCATTTGTCATGTCTCAAACGAGGAAGTTAGTCCCTTGTCACCTGCCAATGCTATAGGAGCAGCAGCTCTATGCCAAGCCCCTCCCAGATAAAGGAGTTTCTCAGCTTATAGCAGCTTGAGTGAGGGATGGGTGGGTGTGACAGAGGCCTGAAAAGGCTCATTCTGGAAGGTACTAGAAACATCAAGAATAAAATGCTGAAATCGCTTTATGCGAGATGGATTTTAAGCAATAAGCAATTTGAACATTTTTGGTGTCAACCACAAAATTAATAGAACAATTTCAGTGAGAAACTGTTTCCTTATTTTTTAAATATCTGTCTGAGATTCACATGCAGGCGGAACACGAAAAGTCTTCTACCCCTATTTTCTGATTTAGCCGCCGACAGAAATTAAACGAGGAATTGCTTAGCTTAGAGAAGCCACTCAATTCCACGTCACATTGTCTAATTAGCATGCATGGACTCAACCCTCTTGGAATGCAACAGAGAAGGATTGGCTGATTCAGCAGCCAGGAGAGCAGAGCACATCTCTCGGCTAATAGAAGCTAATTATTAGCGTTAGCAACTGCACAACATGGCAGAACCCCCCACAGACTTATTTGAGGAGATAAAACATCAAAGTTGCAGAGCAAAAGGAAGCAGTGGAACAGCCACATCGCTGTTAGCCAATAAGAGACGTCCGAATATGATGAATATTAATAAGACCCCAAATCCTGCTGTTTTCTGCTTCCCTCTCCTCCGACTATCTTCTAGTTCCTGAAACGGGAGCACCAGAGCTTTTTTCCCCACAAAGATCGACTTACCAGACACTATTTATACTGGAGGCCACTGCAAATGTATTGAAAAAATGTCATAATATGTCCCCTTTAAGCAATTAAAACAAAATAAAAATGCCCACAAATAACAAGAACAGGATTTTATTAATATTTTGTAATACCATATATAATGCAATTGCATATCTTTGGCGAAAATAAATCTTATAAACATTTTATCAACAGAGGTTAGCATACGAAAACCAAAACAGGTGTGTCAGTCCAACAGACAGGGCGGACAACAGGAAAACTGATACTGGGTTGGCAGCTTTTGTCAAATGCAAAAAATAAAAATAAATACAAATTTAATTGCAACCAGAAATAATCTGCAACAAGAAAAAAATTAAAAATAAAAATAAAAAATCACATAATCAATATTCATCAACTGTTGAGCAATGAAGCAGTTTGTTGTTATTGTATGAATCCTGGTATCCAGAAACATTTATCTGGTCCACATATCAGCTTTGTCACTTTAAGACCTTCACATCTTTGATTTTACCCAAATAAAAAACAAAAGCTGCAGCTGTCGTCGTAATCGAACACGGGTCCGATTCTGGGCTGCAGCTGCATGGCTGGCTGAACCAGTCTGACCCAGAATCCCATAACATTACAAGCTATGCGTGCCAGTAAATGTCTAATGTGTAATCAACTCCTGACTATTCAGGTCACGACATAAACATAAACAACATACGAGACAAATGTCAAAAAAATAGTTTAATTGGCTTCCAGGGTCTTTGACACAATATGGGGAATGCCTGGGCTCTTTTCTCCCGCTGTTCACCACTTTTGGCAGCAACAAAGTTAAAAGACCCATTATAAATGTTTTCTATCCAGTGTAATAAGATAAAAGCTAAATAAAAAATTGGCAGTCAGTGGTAAAATGAGAGGGGAAAAGACATTTACTGTTGGCAAAATCCTTTTTCACTGCAACTCACTTTCAAAAAGTCTAGTTGCAAAGTAAGGAGACAAAAACACAAGTTTAAAGAGGAAGTAGAATACATGTGCTTAGCTTCTTTGTCACGTGACCAGTGTCTGATTTAGCATCCATGATAAAAAAAAATTCCATAAATTAAAAATATAAATAATAACGATAACTAATGAACATTAATTTGTTCTTTTGTTCACAGATAACATGACCAGTGTGTGTACTAGTTCCAGGAACTGCAGCTTAACATTGCAAAGTGACAAAAAAACAAACTCAATGAAGACCAGAGGTCTGGTTTCATCTGCACTGACTGGAGTCGTCTCCCATTTTCTTTTTTTTCACAGAACTCAAACTACATGGTGGCAGCAGGGACATAATAGTGGCTGTGGCCCTTTCGAAGTTTCGCATCAGTGGCACAAGAGAACGTTTGGCACCGACCCACACGTGCTACAGCGACAGTGACACGACTACTCTGAGGAGCTTCCAGGCTAAACGGCATCCTGTGGATGTGCAGGCATCTGTGGCCGTCGACTTTAGCGCCTCGCAACTTCCTATCAGCGAGCTGCATGCTATCAACTCCATTTTACAGCTTGAGAATGTGTACTTCCTTATTTTGTTCCAACGGGAAGAGCAACAGTGAACACACTCTCAGCTCGCGCAGAGAGGATGTCAGCACGGGTCGAGGCTGTACCCCTCTAGAGGAGATGTGACTGTTGAGCTAGCCTTCGTTTAGGTGACTTATTACTCAGCTGAAAACTAAATATTGATCACAAAATCTGATTCTGTTCTGTGGTTTAACCAGATGGGCACTGAAGAAGACCAAGAGCGATTAGAGAGCCAGGAAGTCCAACGACACGACAGGAATATACGGAAATGTAAAGCTGCCACCCATGCAAAAAAAAATGCACACTAGTGTATATCACACTATAACTTTACTGTATATATGTTGATGTTTTATGTGTAGTAAGAGCACGAACAATAAAGTGATCATGTTATTACGTGAAATTGCTTGAATTTTATTGTTGCGTGGGTGGCACCTCTGAGTTTCCGTAGCTTTGAGCCTGAATTATCAATAAAAAAAATTAAATGAAATCAGGTTTTTAAACTTTTTCTTACCAGAATCATGTCAGAATTATGAAAGTCAGCATGCACTATGATACGAAAATAAAAAATAAAAATAATAAATCTATGGAGGATTACCTATAGACACACAGCCAACATCTGGGCACATGTTTGTGTTGCATAGGCTGTCACCAAACATGTGAGTGCCTGTGGTTTGCCTCTATGATAAAAGCTCAAACATCACGCAGGTGAGTGAAGTAGGACTGATGGGATGAGGGTCAGCGAACGAGCGAGGACAGCGTGAAATGGGACGAGCGCTTCCGGAGCAACTAAATTTGGCAGTGGCAGAATAATACTATTTCTACGTCTTACTGATCCCGACTGGGAGCCGCTCCTCTTGTGTAATAAGTTCATCGCACCATAAGAGGATAATACTACCCCCGTTCACTTTCCTCATTGTAAAGTTCACCTAGCACGCTCGGCTCTGATTCTAAAGAACGCCAACCATGAAGACACGTCAAAAAGTTAAGGTTGTGGATTGATTATTGCATGTTTTACAAGAGAAAGCGTTGCTTTTGAAGTAGCTGCTTTCTTTTTTCAGGAGAAAGTGATAACACCAGGAGGTTAGATTCTGTCTGTTACAAACATGCACTCATCTGCTCCATAAATATTCACTTGGAAGAGGATACAGGTGTAAGGAGGAAGCATGCAAACGCTTTCAGTTATAAAAACCTTCAGCTTTTTTTTTTTTTGTCTCTGAAACAAAGATTCCAAAATCTTCTTGTCCGACTGAAGTAGGCGGATCGCTCTGGATAGGTGTGCTGATTCTCCACAGCCCAAGCACCCACCCCTGGGAGTCCCACCCACCCTCCAGTTACTCTATATGGCTTTGTTCTCCTGTGTGAACGATACTATTGCCATTTGTTTGTTGGACAGAGATACTCCCAACCAAAAAAAAAAAGAAAAAAAAAAAAAGAAAACAGGCTCAAAATGGCCAAAGAACGATCAGGTGAGGAGCAGGAGGCACACTGGGACACACGATCAGGGGTCAGAAGTCAGGGGTTCACAGGGTCCGAAGTCTTATGGGGGCCTGGGGAACTTCATTTCCTGTTAAGTTTTGTGCTCTTGACAGTGCGTTTGGACCCCTCTGCACAGCTACGTATACCAGCAAGGTGCAGCAAGGAGCCGGCGGCTTCCTTCAGCTCCTCGTCCAGCTCCGGTTTGACCTCGCGCCGTGCCCGCTTGCTTATGGGCCACTTGATGGCGGGCGGACGTCGAGAAGTCTGCTGAACTCCCCTCTCGTCCCAGAGGTCGGAGTCCTCGTCGCTGTGAAAACCCTCGCTGCCGGCACGGCAAGCCTGTCTACGATCGCAGCCACCTTCGTCCAGGGAGGAAAGAGAGGAGGAGGAGGAACGGGAGGAGCAGCGCTGCAGGGCGGCACTGCTGTAGTTGTGGTCCTGCTTTGGATCACTACTCACCAGGACAGAGTCTGGTCGAGAGAGGTCAAGCGGGCCGTCAGAGTTACCTGAACAAAGACATTGACATGCATTCGTGACTCGTGTGAGAAATAAAAAGCAGAACTCAGAGGCACCTACACATGCAGGCTGAGTGTTTAGGGTTAAAAACATAAAGCAGAACTAAGGTTCATCTTGGCCCAAGAGAGAAAACCTACTTTTAGAAATAGTCGACATGCATGAGAAGATAGAACCGACACGAACAGAAAAACTGTAAATTACAATAAAACTGTAAAGTACACGACCTAAGGTCAAAAAGGTCAGCCTGTTAACGTTTACCATTCAATGTTCTAAAAAACAAGTGACCTTTTAGTCATGCTTCAAGCTTTATAAAAAAGCTTTTTTAATCATATAAATATTTGAATTTTGAATTAAGATAAAGACAGTATTACTCTATTATTATTATTACTAGGGACATGAGAAGATATCGACACACTAAAATATTTTTTCTGTTATGATACTGGATTGATAATCAAAAGAAATGTATCTATTTTTAATGAGAATGTATGTGTAAACATTCACCGTATTTACTTAGTGTGATGTAATTCAAACTCCAACAGCTAGGTGGCAGCAGTTGATATCGCCTGCGGTTTGATGGAACAACGAGATTTCGCGATAACACAGGTTGTTTCTTGAAAGCGTTTGGCCTAAGTTTTCCAATTAAATGCAGTCTTAAAATTTTTTTTAAACATCAAAAATATATTAAAAACATCGACTGGCTTTTAGTAAAGCAATATATCGTATTGTCTCTCCGTAATGGGATTCGTTCTTATCTTGCATTATAGTATAACTCTTATTGCTCTGAATTAGTAAAAAAAAAAAAAAGTAAAGACCTTTGGCAACACTTAACAATAAGTGTCTCTTTATTAATCTTAGTGCATTATTAAGCATCAATAAACTATTAATAAAGTATTAACAACTACAGGCATTACTGTAAATGCATTACTAAGCAGACGCCACCCTGGGTCTTTGTCCTAACCTTAAGGACACTTATTGGTTAACAATATTGGGAAAGTTAATAAGGGGATCCTTTTGTTTATTAATACTTATTATTGCACTAAGAAACATTTATAATGGGACCCTTATTGTAAAGTGTCACAAAATCTTTATTGTTTCCTGTTTAGATGGTAAAGGATTAAAGAAATATTTGAATTTGGGCAAAACTGAAGGTATAAAAGGTACAAAATCAGTAGTAATACTATCTGAAACTTGAATTTATTTCACATAGATTTCTCTAAAATGATATTAAAGGAGTAATTCCTCATTTTAAGCTAGAGGATAAAGAGATGCTCAGCCGAGTGATGCTTTAATGCATTTTAAAGCAAATATCTACAGGAGTTATTTACAATCAGGCACCTGAAGGACTCCTAAACCCTAGAACCAAGACAGAACTCTGTTTAACACACGCGTGACACATAAAGCACATTAATTGAAAATAAAAAATAAGCAATGAGTGGGAGGAATGAAAGAGGTAGGTGACAGTATGGCTGCTTGTGGGCTGTCTTACATCGGTCAACGTGGTGCCCGGGGGCAGAGTTTAAGAGCATCATGGCAGTGGCAGCATCAATATCAGACTCTGGAAGAGGAGAGAACATGCATGATGGTCAATCCTACGGTATGAAAGAATGGTAGCATGGCATTTGTTCGAGGATTGGGTTCTTTTAGTGACTTGGATAAGGGGCCCAATCACTGAACGCCCTAGCGGGCCAACAAAAACAAACTGGCGAAAGAAGAACGAAGCCACTGATAGTGAAAGTGCATCTGATCCTTTTAGACCTGACAAAGTGTCTGAAAGACTCGTAGCTCACTTTTGGAGCTCTAAATTATTAATCATCACAGTGAGACGGAGTGCTCGACACGGAGCACCGGCAGAAACTCTGCCTGTCGTCAAGGTTACAAATCCAAGAAGCAAAAAAAAAAAAAACGGGGGAGGGGTAGCTGAGACGTTGACTGCGAGCTCTGAATGTTATGGTCTGAATGAGGCATCGATGAGCTGAAGACGACAAATCAAACCAAAGGTTGAGGACAAAATGATGCTGAATGTTTGAAATGAGGCAAAAGCAACTAAATCAAAATAGTGCACAAACACACGCGCTAGAAGGACTGCGCTCAATGCAGATTGTTTTTTTTTTTTTTACTAAGAACGTCACAAACTATGATGATTGTTTTTGGCCTCACCTTTGAAGGAGCAGCCTTGAAGAAAGAGATGGCGAGGGGGTGAGGAGGCACTGCAAAAGTACAAAAAGAGACACAGAGGGCCTATTTATGATTTTTCAATCATTAAACCTCTTTTTTTTTTATAAGCACCTCTTAATTTCTCCTTGTGTTCAGAGAGTAAATCTAGTATCCTTTTAAGCTGATTCAGATCCTGCAGCACAAACTTTACCTGGGCGGGGAGGCGGGGGGTGTGCAGAAGGCATGTGCGGCTGGGAAGTGCTGCTTCTTAAGGGCTTGGATTAGATTGGGACGATACTCGGGGTCAACACACCAGAGTGAGCCTTTCCCATTGGCCTGTAGGAGAAAACAGTCAGAGGTGATGGCCGTTTGGGAAAAACTGCTGGAACAAACTCAAGTTGAGCTGACAAGCACGTTTAGTGCATAACAAAAATTCTCAGGTATCATTTCCTAGCATGAAAGCTAGGTCGCAATGCTTCTTAATGTGTTTTCAAAACAGGAGCTAATTTTCAGAAATAATGTGTTTGGCTGTACTACGTCATCAAATAAAAAAATTCTAAAGTTTCAAGTCACTCTGGCTGACCTGTGAAAATGATTCACTGTAAATAACTTCAATGAAAAAAAAAAACAAGTTTAATACTAAACAGCTAAACCTTTAGAGTCGGATATTTAAGGAAGACGCAGAAAGAAATGATTATCGGGTCAGGTCTCGTTTTCATGAACATCCACTCATCCCAAACGCTGAAACACTGCTGAAACAAACCAGCCACTCTATAAAAGGCTCTACAAACAGGAAACAATTGCCTGATGACACCGTGCGAACAATGAATGAGTGTGTGCAGCTTTATCTGATGGTGGCGTTTTCTCACTCGGCATGGGAGGACAGGGAGAGACAGAGAGAGGGAGGAGAATAACCTTGACTCAGATTACCGGCCAGCCCTGATGCAGGAAGAAGGAAATGTCTCCATGGCAACGAAAACCACCAGCCAGTGTCATGTGAAACTGGTGCTGGTGTCTGAGCAGACGAAGGGCTCACACTGCGCACCTGCATGTTGAGCAGCCTGCACCGCACCGCGCTAAGCTCTAACAGCTATCTTCTCTCGAGGTGGGAGAAGAAATCAGGTGTTGGTCAGGTTAAGCCTCTGCACCACAGGCTCAAACTGCACTTCGCTGCACTGACGGGAGAGGACGGGCTAAATGTGTGCTCAGATTAGCTGCTGAAACAACAAAACTTCACCATTCGCTTGTCTTCTTTGTTTGCCACAAGCACCTGCAGCATCTCCATTTGCCTCTCAAACAATCTGCGTCGTTCTCATAGAACTTTAAATGTCTGTTTTCTTGCAACCTGACATTTAGATGGCCAACCATCCCTCTGGTTTAAATTGTTGCACTACCTTGAAGAGCCACAGGAGATAACAGCCCCTCTCAATGTGCTGTGTTTGCATTTCCTCTGTAGGAGTCTCTGTAACCTTGACTGGATTCCACTCTTATCATGGCAGCAAAGTCACAGAGATCCCTGCAGCTGTGTCAAACTCCCAGACTCAGCCACGCGACTCAAGCTTCACACCGCTTTTCAAACCTTGGTGAGCATCTGTATTGCTGCCTATGAACTCTGCAGTTATTTTAGTGTGCACATTTTACACAAACTGAGCAGAAACGCTCGGCGAACCCACCTTTCCCAGACTCCTGTCGACCTTGCGGAAGCATTTGTTTAGAGACAAGTTGTGACGGACTGAGTTCTTCCAGCCGGTGGGAGCGTTGGAAAAGTAAGGGAAGTGCTCGAGAATCCAGCCGTAGATTTCCTTAACAGGCAAGGACTTTCTGGGAGACTGCTCGATGGCCATGTAGATGAGAAGGGAAAAGGAGAAAGGAGGCTTAGACTTCAACGAGTCCCGCTCCCTGCCTCTGCTGTGAGAAGATGAGGAGGACGACGGGCCCTGGTTTGAGCCATAATCTCCTTCTATGTCAAATAGGGGACTCCCACTCGGCTGAGCTTCGGGTCCACCGAGAGCGAAGTTCTGAAGAAGGTTCTCATGGAGCCAGTTAAGGTTGGTGAGCTCCTCGTCTTCAGTGCCTCCGCCGGCGCGATCCACACTTGTTGCAAGAGGACTGGATGCGCACTCCGCCTCGGGCAGGGTTCCCACGCCGCAGACGCCTTTGAGTCCTGTCCGCTCTTCTAGCATACCCGGAATTTCCGTTTTCTTGTCTGGTGACATCCCAGTGATTGGACCCATTAAACCAAAGAGGTCTGAGGAGACAAGAAAGAAAAGGTTAATATCTGACCTTTGAGTGTGAAGTCATTCTGGTAAATGGTAATAAGCCCACATTTTTACAGTATCTTCCAGCGTTCTACGAGCCCCCCAAGGCGCTTTACAACACATCAGTCATTTGCCCATTCACACACACGCCCTGGGGCTAAGGCTGAATGATTTGCATTTGCAAATATGTTGCAATGTGACAAAATGAGATTTTCTAATCACAAAGGCTGCAATTTGACTGGTCGTGAGATCTGGGAAAGCCATGTGAATCGAGAGCACCTTAAAAAAGTTGTGTTAGTTGAAAAAATATGAGAAAAGCCCATTGAGAAAATATTCGCAAATTAAATCAAATCACTTAAGACCTTACCAACAGGGCAAAAATCCTTGGGAGTGCATCCTCCAGCATAACAAGAACGTCAGATTCCCTTTCATCACTGGCAATGAGTGAAGAGGTAAATGTGCAAAAGAACAACGTTTATTAATGTTGAAACTTTTATAACCATTTGTTACAAATAAGTAAATGCATTCTGTCCTCACGGGCTTCCATAGAAGGAAACATGGCATCCAATATGGCGTCGCCCAGAGACTTGAACACGCTTCCGTGTATTTTAGACCCGAATTTTATGGTTATTTGTTATGCAACTACCAACATTTTTCAACAACTGGGTATCCTTTAATCCATTCACAACATTTCAATGGATATTTCTAGAAATTAATAGTAAAAACTACACATTGTCACTTTTAACTCCTCTGCCACCATCACCCCAAAAACAGTGGGGATGTCGGTTATATCAACTTTACTCATATTTTTAAAACATCTGCAGTGGTTTGGGGCACGGCAGGATTTGGGGTCTTATTTCCTGATAATCAAACATCTCTCCTCTGATTGGCTAACAGCAACGTGACTACCACTGACTGTTTGCTCTGCAACGTTGATGTTTTATCTCCACAAATAGCACAAGCTTGAAGGAATTCTGTTGTGTAATGGAGTTGCTGATGCTAATGGCTAGCTCCTACTAGCGGAGATGCGTTCTGTTCTCTCCTGGACGCCAACAGCCTTCCCTGTTGAGAGTCAAGGTGGGTGAGACCATGAATGCTAAATGACAGTGTGACGTAGGTCTGTCAGACTTTTCTGAATTGAGCATTTTTCCATTTATTTTCTATCAGAAGCTAATGCAGGAAATATGGGTAGAAGCAATGTTAAACTCAGTGACCGATCATTGTGAAAAATTATAAATAAAAAATGGTTTCTTAAGTGAACCTGCTCTTTAGGACATAACATCCTTGATGAACCAACCGATAAGATACTTAAGAACGATGCCTGCTTCAAAGCATTCACCTTGTTTTTCCAAGTTTTTTAGGCAAAACAACTGTAACGGTCTCCCACGATTCCCGGCCCTCTTACCGTTCCTCTCCATCACGCCTAGGGAGTATAGAAACACACTCAGCTCTCTCTCCTCTTGACTTCAACAAAGGACCATCAAGGGCATTCTCTCAATCATCTGAACTGACTTAAGGTTCCACTCCGCAAACCCACCTCATCCAGCTGCTTGCTATGTGCAAATGAGCATGAGACCGTCCAGCCAGCGCAGATGAGTGGAAGGCCTGCATCTTAGAGCTCTTAAAAAACTCCTCCACATTCAGCAAGGATCAAGCCCCAATTAGCTGCATGCTAGATGAAGTAGCAGAAAGAGGCTGTAAATCCGAGCGATAGCAGCCATTTACCAGCGCAAGGAAATTCAATGTCAGCAGTGACTTATTATCAAATTCCAGACAAGGGCTCTTATTTAGACAATGGCACTTGTTTTCTTGCACAAGCTGTGAAGAATTTTAAGTGAAATACCAACAGAGACCAAACAGACCTACATACATAAATAGATTCTATTGATTCAAGAACTTATAAACTCATAAAATCCTAAAATATAAGCTAAATGTTTTGCAAACTGCTTAGTAAAGCCAGGAGCATAAAGAGCTCAGTCTTTGTTTCAGCTCATAACAAGCTTTATGTCCTGGGTGTCACCATGACAACCATGCCATCCGCTTCAATTTGAGCAGAAATCCCACAAACAAAAGAGTCAGAAAGATCAGTAATCCACGCTAACTGACTGTGTGACAGATGACCGCTGAATATCGTCGACCCTCTACCCCGTTACGACCCTCTCATGCAGCACCTGTGGCTCAACTCCAGATGTTCAGGCTCTGAGGTGGACGCTTTGGGGCTGGACTGAAGTTGGAGAGGTGGAAGACGCCCTGTGTGCCGGATTGGGCATGTCTTCTCATCTCTGTGATAGGATAAGAATTGGGTCAAACTCGAGTGTTTGCACAGCGGCTGTGACAGGAGAGGGAGTGTACGAGCACACAAATCAGTCTGTAAAAGCCAGTCCCGGGGGGGGGGGGGGGGGGCATTTGCACATTTATAGAACAACCCTTCAGCTCTCACTGAGGGGATAAACGTACAGCAGAGTGATTCAATTTAGATTAAGACTCAAATTTAAAGTAAGGACGACAGTTTCTTCAGCCTTAAAAGCAAACTTCCAGTATTTGTGATGAAACCAACAACTCTGTGTTTTACCTTCATTCTGTCGGTCAGTTCTCTGTCGTTTGTGCACTTCCAGATTGTTCTGCTAAACTGCATCTACTTCTGCATTTGTGATCGCCGGCAATAAAGGAGATATGCTAATGAATCGGCCTGACCAAATGCAAACGCAGCAGCACGAACAAAAGAAGAGATAATACTAGGTGGGAGGTAAGATTAATTCAAGAAAGGACGGAGCTAAACAGGAAAAAAAATGAAAATGTGCCCAAAAGAACAAAAGAAAAAGCACATAGAACAAGTGGCAGGGAGGTAGGTTGTGTAAGTTTTCCAGTCTAGGATGAATCACAGCTCTCAGGAAAGTAGAGCAATCAGATATGTCAGGCAGCATGAGGACTGCCCGTTTGTGTCTCTGCCTGGGCCATAGAAACACAGATATCCTCTGACATGACAGTTTCTTGTTCTGATTTAATTTACAAACAATAAGGAGATCAAAGCGGGTACAGTTTCGTGATAAAATATCATTTATGCTTCTAAAAACAACTGTAGATGTTATTTAGAATGACTTGACTGTGTCATTACGAACCCTTGGGAGAAGTAGTCATCTTTCGATTGAATCCTAAAGAGGAAGGGGCACTTTTTTCCTTCTGAAGGCCCATTTTGCTTTGGCTAAAGCGATCTAAGGAGTATACATTGAAAAGGAAAAACATTCTTCTTTAAGGCAGCCATATTGGAAGACAACTTAAGAGGCTCCTGATGATCAGCTTGTAGAACAATTGGCACGTTTCTTTAGAAAGTGTCTGGTCTACAAAAACAAACTCTGACATCACTAACATAAAAACAATGTGTAGTTTTTACTGTAAATCTCTGAAAATATCCATCCAAATGTTGTTTAAAATGAATTAAATGATGCCCAGTTGTTGAAAACTATTGGCGGCTTTGTAAGCTATAACCATGAAAATCAGGTCTAAAATACACGGGAGTATATATTAGATACCATGTTTCTTTCTATGGGAGCCCGTGAGGACAAAATGCATCTACTGATTTGTAACAGATGGTTAAAAACGTTGGCCATTCATAAACATTGTTGTTTTACGCATTCACCTCTTCACTCGTAGCCGGTGCTTGCCATTTTGCTGGAGGTTGCACTCCCAGGGATTTTTGGCCCTAATGGCCATCCGTTGGTAAGGTCTTATTCAAACACAAAAACACAGCTTGCTTGCAATGATTCAGCTATATACTGTCCCTTATCGCCAGGGAAAATACACACAGTCACTTTAATAAAAAATTTTACCTCAAATTTTCTTCATTCAGATGTCGACAAAATGTGTTTAAACTTGTTTTCCATTGAGGATACTGAGGCCTTGACAGAGTTGGTCCAAATCCCACCTCAGGCCGTCAAGCCTTATTCTGTATTATGCAAACAACACGTGTTTGTAAAGAACAATGTATAAGATTAAATAAGCTGATTAACACGCAAGAGATCCAGAACGTTCCACACACTTCAGTTCTACTGTAGCAGGGATATTTTTTATGACTTTAAATGGGTTTGAAAGCCAATACTAAGGTGCTCTGATGCCAAACAATTACAGTTAACCACAAGTGTGACTAAATGCAGATGTGACCGCATCCAGCCATATGATGAAAAGGTGCAGCCTCCTCCTCTTGGTCAATGTTCATTCTTTAACAGGCTGTGGATAACTGCTTGTTAACCTGCTTTAGTTTTATGGACTGAATATGCAATAAAAACAACTGAATGACAAAGTTATCCGCCTAAAAGAACTGAAGACTTGTGCCTCAGTCCCTTTTCTTTCACCAAACTTGACCCTTTGGGTATCAGAGAGAGAGCTTATCCTCTTTGACGAACTCCTCTAAAAGGCTTTCACTTGGACATCAACAGAGGCCCGATGAGAAAGATGACTTGCATCCAAACACAGGAAGCATTTAACCAGGACTGCAGCTGGTCATTACCACTGCTTTTGCAATGATCACAGTTATCCCTGCTCTTTAAAAAAAGTGAACATGATCAAAGAGAGGCGGCTGGAGCTGCAGTGAATAATAGGACACCAGTGAGTAGACTAGAAAGAGCAGAGGGAGCTAATAGGGCAGCCTGGCCTGTTGACTGCTGCTCATCCTTGAAAATACACCCAAGCTGTAATGGCACTGACCTGATGGCTCATCTGCAAGTTAAAAAAGCCCCATGCTCCGCCAGTCTCATCATATTCATGTGCAAACAGGCAGGCTTACAGCAGGTGCCATGGCACAGCTCTGCCCCCCTTCAACTGCTCTTTTATCCCGTTAAGCACTTAGTCTATTCAAAAATACACACAAAAAAAAAACATATGGAGATGGCTGTAAGTGGCACATCAAGCAGCTGATGAGTCTAATACGTGTAAGTGAATGTACGGGAGCTTTAAAACGAAGAGACACTGCTTTGAGATGTTTTCCTGGGACAGA